GTGCTGGTTCTGGTCCTGCTACAGCATCGGCGCATTCCATGCTTCCGGCTGCATCTTCCGGGTCGGATTCTTCTGCTGGAGTTGGAGCTGTCACTGGACTTAATCAGGATCAGTGGACAACCCTTCTTTCTTTACTTAATTCGGCCAAACCTAATTCGGGTTCTAAGTTGTCCGGTAAGCGTGTTTTTTCTAATTGGATGTATGATTTGGGTGCCACACGACATATGACAGGCTCTATTGACTCTTTTGATGATATTCATGATATTGTGTGTGTTCCAGTTCAACTCCCGAATGGCCAATTTACTGTCGCAACCAAAGCCGGGACTGTGGTGCTTAGTAATCGAGTGACATTACACAATGTGCTTTATGTTCTTAATTTATTGTGTCATTTAATTTCGGTCTCCCAATTATTGACCGATACTGCCTCTGCTGCTCACTTCACTGCTGGTGTTTGTGTTATACAGGACCTCACTTCGAGGACGCTGATTGGAGCGGGTGAGCAACGGGAGGGACTTTATTTTTTTAGAGATGTGGAGACCGTATCTGCTATGTCGTCCACTGGGACTTCTTCATTCGATCTCTGGCATCAGCGTCTTGGGCATCCGTCATCTAAGGTGCTAGCATTACTCCCTTCCATGGGATCTCCTCAAAATAATCACTCTTTAAATAAGGCCTGTGATGTTTGTTGTCGGGCCAAACAGTCTCGAACTTCTTTTCCTGTTAGCACTACTAAAACACTTGAAGTTTTTCAGTTAATTCATTGTGATTTGTGGGGTCCCTATCATGTTCCTACATTTTTGGGGGCTAGATATTTCTTGACCATTGTTGATGATTTTTCGAGAGCCACTTGGATTTATTTATTAATTGACAAGACAGAGGTGTCCATGACTTTATGCAATTTTTTTGCTATGGTTGAACGTCATTTTAAGAAATTGGTCAAAACCGTTTGTAGTGATAATGGTACTAATTTCTTTCTATGACTGGTTATTTTCGAGAACGTGGCATTTTGCATGAAACTTCTTGTGTGGGTACTCCTCAGCAAAATGGTCGAGTGGAGCGCAAACACACATATTTTGAATGTGGCTCGTGCTTTGGCGCTTCCAGGCTCATTTGCCTATTGAGTTTTGGGGTGAATGTGCGTTAGCTGCAGGCTACTTGATCAATCGCACTCCTTCGAGTGTTTTAAATGGTAAAACTCCCACCGAACTTTTGTATGGCCGATCTCCGTCTCTTTCCCACTTACGTGTTTTTGGATGCCTCTGTTATGTGCACAACCAGGATCAACGTGGTGATAAGTTTTCCAGTCGTAGTAGGAAGTGTCTGTTCGTCGGGTATCCATTTGGGAAGAAAGGATGGCGGGTGTATGATTTAGAAACTGGGGATTTTTTTGTTTCTCGTGATGTGATTTTTTATGAGTCCGAGTTTCCTTATCTGCCTTCGACTTCGGATGTTCCTACTTCTTCGATTGTTGAATCTCTATCTTTTGATAACGATGATGATGAACTCGAGTCTAGTCCTATTCTGGACTCTTCTATGACTTCTACATTACCTTCTGCTGACTCTGCCATTCCGGATTCCTCTCCTGACCCTTTACCTGTCAGGGGGGGTCTGCTAGCGTCTGCGCAACATGAAGAATTTATGGGCCGTGGGCATCGGATTAAGTATCGCTCCACTCGGTTGAATGACTTCCTTGGTCATACAATCACATCTTTAAGCCCCTCCTCTTCCTCACCTTCTTCATCAGTTTCCTCAGTTGCGTCCTATCCCATTCATCACAATGACACTTGTGATTCTTTTTCTACTTCCCACCGCGTGTTTTTGGCTAGTATCACTGCAGGGGTTGAAACTAAGTCTTTTTCGGAGGCTGTCAAAGATGCTAGATGGAGGGATGCCATGCAGCAAGAAATTCAGGCCTTGGAATCAAATAATACTTGGACTATTGACTATCTTCCTCCCGGGAAGCGTGCTATAGGGTGTGAATAGGTGTTTAAAATCAAGTATCATTCTGATGGTTCTGTCGAGCGCTACAAGGCCCGCCTAGTTATCTTGGGCAACCGGCAGGTTGAAGGTCTTGATTACGATGAAACCTTTGCTCCCGTCGCAAAGATGGTCATTGTTCGCACCTTGCTCACTGTTGCTGCCGCCAGAGGATGGGAACTTCATCAAATGGATGTTCACAATGCCTTCTTGCATGGTGATCTCACTGAGGAGGTTTACATGAAGTTACCACCTGGTTATTCTTCTTCTATTCCTGGTGGTGTTTGTCGTCTCCGCCGCTCTCTTTATGGCCTTCGCCAGGCTCCTCGTTGTTGGTTTGCTAAATTGGTCAATGCACTCCGGCGATATGGGTTTCAGAAATCTTCTTCTGATTATTCTCTTTTCAGCTTTCGTCGTGGTTCTGTGTAGCTTACTGTTTTAGTCTATGTGGATGATCTCATTATTTCTGGCAATGATGCCACTGCTATATGTTTGTTTAAGGATTACTTGAGCCGTTGTTTCCACATGAAAGACATTGGTAAACTCAAATATTTTTTGGGCATCAAGGTGGCTCGTAGTCCTTCTGGCATTTTTCTTTCTCAACGGAAGTATGCCTTAGATATAATTTCTGAAGTTGGTCTGTTGGGGTCCAAACCTGCTGGTTTTCCGTTGGAACAGAATCATCAGCTTTCTTTGGCAACTGAGCATCCTCTGCCAAATCCTGAGAGCTATAGGAGATTAGTTGGTCGCCTGATTTACCTAGCTGTTACCCGTCCTGAGCTTTCTTACTGTGTTCATACTCTTGCGTAATTTATGCAGAAACCACTTAAGGCTCATTGGGACGCGGCACTTCGCGTTGTTTGCTTTATGAAGGGTAATCCTAGTCAAGGTATTCTTTTACGGGCTGATTCTGATCTTCAGTTGTCTGGTTGGTGTGATTCGGACGGGGCTAGTAGTCCTTTGACTCGTCGTTCTCTCACTGGCTGGTTCATGCAATTAGGTTCAACTCCTATTTCCTGGAAGACCAAGAAACAACAAACGGTTGCGCGTTCGTCGGCTGAAGCTGAGTATCGCTCTATGGCCTCCACCGTTTGTGAGTTGAAGTGGTTAAAAGGTCTTCTGCAGTTTCTTGGTGTACCTCATCCTCAGCCTATTTGACTCTATTGTGATAGTCAGGCTGCATTACATTTTACAACCAATCCGGTCTTCCATGAGTGCACTAAGCATATTGAGGTCGGCTGTCACTTTGTTTGAGATGAGATTATCAAAGGCACTATTCTTCCCAGTTATGTGTCAACCCAGGTTCAGTTGGCAGACATTTTTACGAAGGCCTTGGGGAAACCTCAGTTTGATTACTTTCTCGGCAAGTTGGGCATTCGCAATCTTCATGCTCCAACTTGAGGGGGGTATTACAGATGTAAATGTGTAGATATGTATGAAAATTAATGTAAAAATAAGTTATTATAGTTAGGGCAAATTAGCATCATTTACGGAGAAGATTTCTCCGGTTGATTGTATGTACTGTATCATTAAAAACCAGACTGAAAAACATGAACGACAGGAAAGTCTTTCTGAAAATCTTTCTTGTTTTCTCACATATATAGAGGAGTGAAGACTAATTAAATCCTTGTATAATCTGGTCAAATCACAAATTACTAAGTCAGATTAATAACTTTATACAGAGAAGTCAGATTACTAACTTTAGTTGGTAATGAAATGATTGACATAACAATCAACAACTAAAAAAAAATACTAAAAAAATGGCAAGTTTCATTGTGGGCTTTGTTCTAAAGAGGAACAAAATTTTTTTGAAATGGAGAAACAAAATGAAGAGAAAGGTAAGTGGAGAAAGTTTTTTTTTTTAAAAAAAGAGGAAAAGTGAACGATGAACAGAGTAAACTAAAGGAAGAAGGTGTCCACAAAATCCTGCAAATCTGCAGTGTACAAATAAAATGAATCAGTAAGTAACGGAAAGACTACAATCAAAACAACGTTAAACCAGAATAAGAAATTAAAAGATAAGTGGTATAGGACATTTACCTCTGATGCAATTTTGAGGTTTAATATCCCAGTATATAAACCTCTTGAAGTTTGAGAATTATAACTCTTCAACAAAAATCATTTATAGGTAGTTAAGATTTTTTTAGGAACCAATCTTAACACACACTTATAAAAGATTTGTTTGTCTTCCCTAATCTACCCAAGTAAATTTTATATTTTAGTGTTTATCTTGTTATAGATGTCAAATTACAAAACTTGGTTATATTTTAGCCAATTACAATTAGTAAATAAAATACAAACATTACTTTAAAACAAATTTTTTTTAACTTCTTCCTGTATTTTAGACACGTGTCTCGGAAGCACTTTCAATTGAGTCAGAACCCTCAATTTATCCTATAAATTATCGGAAACATTTTCAAATAAGCCAAAACTATCATGAAATTCTCGTCTCTTAGTACTCCCTCCATTTCTTTTTATGTCTTTCTAGAGAAATCGTCAAAATCAAAAATACATTAATTAATGTAATTAAAATACAAAAATACCCTTATTTATTGTCTATATAATTCATCACAAACCAATAAAAATTTATTATAAATACTGTTTCATTTCCAATGCAAGGGTAATATAGGTAAAAAGTGGTCAAATATGCCTCGATTTGTGAAAATGATATATATTTAAAAAAAATTTACCAAATCCTAAAACGACATATATTTTAAAATGGAGGGAGTATATAATAAAGGTTGCATCATGGTAATACAAATTCAAGTTGACTTTTGATTTTAACGGTCAAATCCTTGAAAGTTGAGGCCTTTTTTGCTCTTTTTCAGTAACAACCCTTTTTGAGGCCCTTATAAGACGCGGGCTTAAGTTGGCAAAGCAGATTGCCTTCTAAAAAGTGCACTTAAAGTGTTTGTAAGAATTACTGACTGAGCCCATTTTTCAGGTTTCTTGCCTGTTCGTTGTTCAGGTTTTTCCAGCACCGACATAGAGATAGAGTAGTCTAAATTTAATCTAGTTCCAGGATGCCAATGGGTTCTTTAAGTGGGCTGCAGCTGCAGTTCAAGACTAGTCCACTTTTTGGCACTGCTCTCCAGCGCCGTGATTGCAGCGTTGGGACGCAAAGAATTGGTGAGCTTTGATAGTTGTTGCCATAGGTTACTTCGTTTTTTTAATGGTATTAGTTCATTTTAGATTTGAATTGTGGTTTCAGAAGTTAGTTGCAGTTGATTACTTATAAGAATGCGAAGTAGTAGTGAGAGCTTATACCCAATCTTCTTCCATTCAAATGTAATCAGAAAAGTTGGTTTACAATTTACTTGAGTTCTTATTATGCTGCTTGATGTAGTTCTGAAGCCATGGGTGGTTGAAGCGAAGGCCAATACTCGGACTGAGAGTGCAAAAACCCGAAATATTAGGATGAGAAAGAAGGTAGGTTTCTCTTGTTTGTGTTAATACTTTTGTTTCAGATGGTTGTGCACGATTGATTATGAGTTTATTTTGAAATACTTTAGTTACATGTATCATATACGGGAATAGTTCCATGAGAAGGCTTGAATTGTTGAAAATTGCTCTAATGTGGATAGTCTTGGATGTTGAAGTTTTGGGTTTAAAGGAAGAATGCTTGTTTGATCTTGTGATCTCATTGTATTGTCTTTGATATCTATGTCCACCACCAGTTCAATGGAACAGCAACGAGACCAAGGCTCTCGGTTTTCTGTTCAGATAAGCAGCTATATGCAATGGTTGTAGATGACCAGAACAAGAAGTGTTTGTTCTACGCAAACACTTTGCAGAAATCAATTCGACAGGATCCACCCTGTACTACCATTGTAAGTGTTCATCTAGTTTCCCCAAAACTTTTGCTTTAACTTAAATGTTGCTGCCTAGGGTGACATTTTTAATCTGCGACATTACATCATTGGTAGTAGTAGTACACCTTCTACGATGGAAACAATGCAATTCGAGCTTATGTAAAATATGTTTTTTCGTTATCTGATTCTGAGATGCCTTAATGGTCCCAGGAAGCAGCACAACGTGTTGGTGAAGAGATTGTCAAGGCATGCATTGATCTCGGTATCAATGAAATTTCATCTTATGATCGGAATGGTTTGGCGAGGGGAGAGAAAATGCAGGCCTTTGAGATTGCCATTTCTCGTCACGGATTCTTGCCTCGATAATCTTACATTATCAGTCAGATTTTGTTGTAAATTTGTTCTCTATGTAATCTGACTGTGTAATTAGGGTGATGATATTGTCAGAGTTCTGTAAATTAGTGCTAAAGCAAAAACACATTGAAGAGACAAGATTGAAGAGTAAGAATTGTATTAATCACATGTGATGGGTAGTTACAATTAAAAACTACCGGACGCCCACTGAGTAGGTAGTTACTCCAAATTTAAACTGTCAGTTTTTTTCTTTTGCCTATTTCATTATTCATATACTTTGGAGTGATCACACTTCTTCATATTTTCCATTCTCTTCATAAACAACTGCCAATTTCTGTTTTTCCTTCTTCTTCTTCTTCCAGTTTCTGTTCTAGTGCTTTATTCCTATTTCGAGAGTGAGCATACTGTGTCTGCAAATTTGACCAATTCTTTTTCTTGGAAAAGAAATATGGATCCTCCTGATGGAGTTGGCATCAAAATCTACAATGCTTCACCGCAAGTGGTGCTTGATCCATCTACATACCCTTCTTCATCCCAAGAGCCTTCACTATCGGTCGACGCACCTCCTCCTCCTGGTCCTCCTTCCACCCCCGGTGGTCGGAAAAGGCGAGCAGTCGCAAGCGGTTTCCAGAAAACACTGTCCAAAACATCAATGCTTGCAAACTTTCTACCAACCGGAACCCTTCTCACATTTGAAATGGTTCTTCCATCCGTTTACGGTACTGGAGAATGTTCACATGTCACCACTCTAATGATCCTTCTCCTACTCGGGTTGTGCATGCTTTCATGCTTCTTCTTCCATTTCACGGACAGTTTTCGCGGCCCTGACGGGAAAGTGTACTACGGGTTTGTGACACCAAAAGGGTTGTCAGTGTTCAAACATGGGCTCGGAGTGGTTGTGCCTAAAGATGAAAGGTACAAAGTTGGATTCACCGATTTTGTTCATGCGATCATGTCAGTGTTGGTGTTTGTAGCCATTGCGTTTTCGGATCATCGTGTCACGGATTGCCTCTTCCCGAATCATGCAAAGGAAATGGATGAAGTGATGAAGAGTTTCCCTTTAATGGTTGGAGTGATCTGCAGCAGCCTGTTTCTTGTGTTCCCCAATACCCGTTACGGCATTGGTTGTTCCGCTGCGTGATGATGGACTTTTTTAAGAAATGCTACGGTTTATGTTTCAAGATCTGTTCTTTAATAATGTAAACACATTCCCTCTCTCTTTTTCTTTCTTATTATGGTTAGGCCTCTCATGTAACGCAAGTATGTCCTGTATTGTTAAAGTTTCATCTACTTGTGACAGGATATGATGGTAAAATAGTATCTTTCTGCTGTTTCTCGGATTCTCAATGAGGCTTATTTAACTTAATGTTAAGGGGAAAACTCCAGTCTGTTGTGGAAATTTGATTATAGATTCGTATGCAGTCATCTCAGCAGTGCATAAGATGGAACTAGAATAAGTTTTTGAAAATGACCAATATAAAAAAGCCGCCTTTACTAAAAACTTTAGCATGAAGCATCATGTTCCTCTACCTGTACAAGAGAGCATCTCCCCCTCTCATATACCTCTCCATATGATACAAAACCCTAATTTTGCTGCAGAAATAAACTGCAGTATTTTATATCTATTATCTTCTAGCTATATCATATCTGACGTGTAAACTAAAAATGGGTAAATTTCCCTCTATCTACAGTAGAAACTCTCTTGTCATCATCTTTGGTTATCAACCTTCTGTCAATATCTCAATTCCATGTGGAGTATTTGTCTGTCCAAGTTATCTGTGTCAGCTACCTGAACAAGTCATTTCACTAGGAAATTCGTGTTAATCGCCACAACAATTAGCGCGTTTTGCCTCCTGAAGTTTCTCCCAAAGGCAGAGCATTTCTCGAGGACTTTGATAATGGGCAACAACATAGCCATTTTTGCATCCCTCGTTGAAAATCCTCTCATCCTTCTCGTATCTCACTTCTAGACCTTGCTTCTTCATCTCTGCAATCCATATCCCCATGGCAACATCCTCTAGCTTGAACATCTGCCAAATAAAACTTGATTTCGTCAGTCTTTAAAACCTTAGCAGCAGACTCATTGACCGAAAGAGAGCAGGTTTTTTTGGCATTTGTATAAAGATAAGAGTGGAGTCACTATGTCAATTTTACCTTCAGTTGGCCCTTCCTGTATTTTCTGTATATACCTTTTGCTATATCTTTAGATACAACATACCCTGGACCATGTGCCCAAGGAGGATAACTGTCATCGGGCCATTCCTAAGTAACGTTACGCAAGTGAGTCAGATTTGCGTAAAATAAAACTACCATCTTGTGGATCAACAAATAACTCATGCATCTTTTAACAAACCAAATATAGGAATTCTTCAAATTTCAGTTTTCTTTTTTTTAAGGCAATAATCATTTCTTTTTTGAAAGGGGGCAATAATCATTTCTTATTCCAACAATATTTCAATTTCAGTTTCTTTTTTTAAGGCAATAAGCATTTCTCCCTTCCAACAATTGATCATAGAATGTGTTCAAGGAAAATGTTACCTGCTGACTTATAAACCACTTGCTATCAGGATTTCGATGAGGATGTGACTCGGAATTGATAAGACCATAAAGCACACCACGAGTCACATTGATTCGATCCAAGGAAGCCAAAATCTCATCGATCCGAACAAACGCATCATCATCTGTCTTCATCACATATTTTGCCGAAACAGCCTCCGTCTGTCAAAAAATGATATAGTCACAGAGGCACACAGGATTTCCATGAACTAGAAAGGGATGGGACAGGATGTTACCCCAAATATACAAATCGCCAAAGTCTTCCATGTGATTAGGCTATAATAATCAACAAAGGGCACCAGCTGGACGTCACCATAAGTCATTGCCTCATTCCATAGTTCCTCATTTACCATCTGATTCTTATGCTGCAATAAGGTGATATTAGCACCTAGTCCATGAACGGCATGTTAAACAACATAAGGAATACAGAGTGACCTATTTCCAAAAAAACATATAATGCAAGCTGTAAGGACTATCATCTTTCTTTAGAGATAGACAATGTGCTTTCAGCAATGCCAAATTGAGTGTCAAAATCTTTTCAGCATGGAATATTTCGAACTTTGAACTCTCATCCGTTAATGAAGCGTGCTGCAATAAATTTACTAATTATCCCTTAGCATGAAAAGAGAAGAAAAAAATAACTAAACTAGAAAAGAAAATAAAAGAAAATGGACATGGACAGACAAGTCTATGTTCTCATTCAAAATGAACAAAAGTTTTGTAAACACCATGCCTCAAACAACATAGTTAGCCAACAGAAAGAAGGCAAATATAATAACACCAGTTCAAACAAACAAATTGAACTTGGAATACTTACCAAACCAACAAAAAAACGAACAGCAACTTTCCGAGAGCGCACCGGAGCATACTGCATCCAAGTTCTTCTAACTGCCATTCTGCGTTTAAAATTGTTTGCAGTTGAAAACACACCAATGAAAAGGTTCAACAATGTCCGTGGAGGCAATGGAGGCGCTTTCAGAGCTTCAATGTCTATAATGTGTTCTAAATCTTCTGATGTAGGTAATCCACTAGCAACAACAGAAACTAACTTTATGTCCCCGGATATCTTTACTACATTAACAAGCCAGGGCTCCAAAGTCTGATAGTACATGGGAAAAAAGGATGAGCGAGTCAATATAAATGCTTTGCCAAAATCTATGAGTAATAGAAAGGAGAAAAGAAAGAACCTACTTCACGAAAACCAAATGATGTGATGTGCTTCCCATCTACAGTCATCTGAATTCCTTCTGATCCCACCCTAAGTGTTGCCACAAATATATAACCTTGCCTGAAGGGAAAATATTTTCTTGGTCCAGATCCATCCTGTAACATAGAAGTCTTTGCGGTTGCATTTGAGGGTTTACCAATCGTAATGGTGTGGTTCTCATCTTTGCCAACTATCTGGTTGCATTGGTCCAATTCATCAACTGACAAATATATGGCAGAGTCAAATAACCATAAAAAGCGCAGCACATGTGAATCAGTATAGTGGAAGTAATATTCATGAAGAAAAGCAGACAATGTTTGGTGAGGACCATAAATGAAAAGACGAAGACAGCAAACAAGCTACAGATACCAGATCATTTATTATTAGCCAATAACTTATAAATGAAAACAAAAAGAAGCATAGCTGTTTACCTTTTTTATTCTTCTCAGGATTAGGAGATGGGCAACGCTCTTCTTCCCCCCAGTCATGTGCAACTGTCCAGGTATTTTGAACAATCACAGGATCCTCAGTTAGTTGATCACCTTGGAGCCGAACATTATAGTGCAAGATAATAGGAGGATCAGGCTCGCCAGGCAGTGGTTCCCCAGTTAAGTCAATCCGGAAATTACCCATAAGACCATTTGGAATGCCAATAAGTGTTATTGAAGAGCCTTCAGTTAACCCACAAGGAACCTGCAACTTAAAGCCATTATGACCAAGTTCTGTGGCATTCATCTCACTAAGATAATGAGGACACTGTTTCTGTTTTCCTTTCTTCTCTGAACTCTCATTTTTGTGCATCTTTTCCTCTTCAACTGATGCCAAAAGGTTCTTCCAAGCCAAACTGGCTTCTTTAAAAGCCTCTAAACCATTAGGCAGTGCCTGAGCATGTCTGACTAAATGCCGGAAATGGTTCCAGGCATCTAGAGATTGCTCCTCGTGGAATGATAGATTCCTCTTATTGAAAAGATCAGCGACTATAACTTCAGTAGAAATCACTTCAGAAGCATTTCCTGGATTCTGTACTTCATGAGAAACACCAGAATTTATCCATTCAAGGGGATTGCCTTGACTCTGCGGTTCAGGTAATGTACCAGCATTTATCCACTCAAGAGGATTTGTTGAAGTGAAGATCGGGGTTGGACTAGTAAGATCATTTTCTTTCAAAGGGTTTCTCACCACATAATACCCAAGCAAAAATAACATCAACAAGGATGCTGAAAATACACAAGCATACCATTTCTTCATTTCTCTTCAATAGCACAACATCTCAACTGATTTTGACCTAATAACAAGGAAAGCAACCTTTTTGTAAGAAATAGATTTTGTAACAACTATGCTGAAACAAATGCTTTTTCCTATAACTATTTAATGTGCTATGAGTTACGCATAAACAATTTAGCCCTACGAGTGTCTGAAATGGAGTTCCAGACCCGGAAAAAAAAAAAAAAAAAAAACCCAAGACGGACATTCAAGATATAATACATGTTCCATCCATTTACAGCTGATTATATGTTTAGGGATCCACATATTCAAGAAAGCTCACATTTGCGAAGAGAACTTCCGTGAAAGAAATTTACGAACTTTCCTGGAAATTAAAATATAACGAGAACTACAGTACTACACTATCAGCAATCATAGAATGTCTCCAAAAAGTAAGGCAGTTTGGTTGTGGAATTTTAACCTCTAAGAATGCCTTGAGCAAATTCACAGGTGCTGTACAGGTAAGAAATAAGCAAACTAATCAATGATCCCCAACTATAAAACCAAAGGAAATTACAAGATAAGACATGCAACAGGTAACTCTTAATATAAGTTTAAAGTCATGAGGGGCCCATTAATTCCAAATAGATACAACTTCTAGTCGACCAACATTTTAATATTGTTTGCCAGATAACAGGAAGCTAAGAACTATCTAGGAAGCACAAGCATTGCCCAACTGCAACAAAACAAGAAGCAGATAGCAAACTAGGAAGCAAAACAATTGCCTAACTGCAACATAAAACTAAAAAAGGAGCACAAAATTTGTGTGCCATGAAAAAGAAAGAAAGATTAAGTAAATTTTAGATAACTCAGCAGAACCAAGAGCCGCACGAATCCTCTTAAAATCTCATCATCAAAGCACACCCCCAGCAGAAGTTTTCCCGAACAAAACAAGTTATGACTTTCCTTTTCAAATTTTCATCGACCTTGAATGTTGGAAAGGAGAAACACATAGGGTGAATTTCTCTGAAAAAATTAAGAAATTAGAAGCCCAAAATTCAGAGAGACTCCAAACTTTTTCCAGTTTCTAAACGCGGAAAGTTCAAAATAAGAAATTTCATAAAAGCATCAAACTAAATATGGAAAAAAAACAACTAATGCCGACACAAAGAAGTAGAATGCGGAATAAGAAAGAAGTTAAATCAAGTCAGATCGCCAGAGAAGTTCGAAACACATCAATTAATCGAACTGCAGGAAGCAAGAAACGCTAAAAAACCGCAGCAGATCTCAAAATCCAACTTCAAAGACACAAAGATCGCCGTAATTCACACTCTAAACAGCACCAAATGCCGTAAAAACTGAAAAACCAAGCATTTTGCTCCATACTCGCAACTCAACTACAACACAAAAACCAGCAAGTTCGGGCAAAATCCGAACCCTAAAGATCAAAGCAATGCTGATAAACATACTAAAACCACACTCCAACAACAAAGAAGGGAGAAAAGAAAAGAGAAACGAACAGAGACAGAAACAGAGTACTTAATAAAAAGATGAAGCAGTTTAGGAGTAATGTAGGGTAGCAGACGAACCTCATCGGAGTAAAACCACAACAGTGCAGATCGGAGATGCTTTACGAGGCGGAATTTTGAGTGTATCTGAACTTGGAGAAGAAAATTCGTGAGAGGAGAAGAGTCCCAATCAAAGTGTTTGAAAAAAGGCGTAAGCAAGAAACTATAAGAACTGTGAAGGGAGAAAAAAAAACAAAAAACTAAAAAGAAAAAGGAAGCAACTTTTGTTGTGCTACGTATATATATTTTGGATTTGGTCGCTTCTTTTTTTCTTTTTCTTTTCTCTTTTGGGTCCCTGCGCAGAACATCATAATTGGACTAAATATTCTTTTTGAAGTCTAAGAAAAAACGTCTTCCTACTACTAAAATTAGATTCGCCGAATCGCCGTATGAGTTACGCTTATTTCGATTAATGAAGTGTTTGACAATTGAAAACGTTGTAAGTACTAAATTAAATTAACATTAAAGTCGTAGAATACACTTTGTGATGTGTTTTGTTGGAAGGAGTGTTTTTGACAAGTGAAAGAAGTGCTCAGGTGTGGAGGATTGGGATTGGTCCTCTCCAATGACTGGGTCTGGGTATGTATGTTTCTGCCTTGTGGCTAACGGCGGAGGTGGAAAAGAAATTTTGGATATAAATGGCTGTGGGATTTGGAAATAAAGGGCCAATGTCTCGTGACTTTTTTTTTTTTTTTTTGGGTTTGATTTGGTCGAAAACGAGTTCTTGGTGTTTTATGTTTTCCATTATAGTGTTGATTTTTTTTTTTTTTTTTTGGGTTCTAAACCATGTTTTAAGATGTATTCTTCTTATACTTTCTAAAGTACTATTTCTTACTGTCACTAATTAGAATGCTTATTGAATTTGATACCTAATGAGGATCTGTTCATTAGATTCCGCCTATAATAATTTTAATAAAGTCACCAGAATCTAACTCAATCAATTGATTGTAAAAGAGGCGGATCAAAACGGCCGCTGTTAATCTTTCTTATTTAAACAGAGCAATTATTTGTAGACAAAAGTAGAAGATACTTGTCCCAAACTTTTGAGAATAACTGTTACTCCGTATTCCCTCCATTTCAAAATGTAGCTCGTTTTAGATTCGAAGAGATTTTTCAAAATGTATGTCATTTTACAAATTCTAGGTAAATTAATGATTATTTTTATAATTTTACCCCCAATAAATGATGCTAATCTATTTTTATTTAGTCTTGTTTATAGTTTCAATGTAATTAATGAGGGGTAAAAAAAATATTTAACACATAAACTAATTGTTGGATGATTGTTTCATTAGTTTACGTGCCAAGTCTAAAAAGACTTATATTTTGAAATGGAGGGAGTATTATTTTAAAATACGTTGATGAAAACACACTGTAGGTGATTGGGTTGATTTGTTTGTTAATGGTCTTCGTCGTCAATTAAACCAACCTAATTTTGTACTGTTACTGTGTGGTATTTGACTAGTAGCAGTAATTGACAAGTAATGTTAGACTAAACATTTGGATGTAACTACAACACGAGACAAAAAATCCTGGTGTAATTAGTTGGTAGAATTTTCTCTCTTTTTTTTTCCAACATAAACGACAAAAAAATAATTACATTAGGAACCATTTCGTTGGAATTTGGGATTAATACACAAAATTGGAAACTACATTTATCTCGAGTTAAATATTGAGAAATCCAAAGAAGCCTAATTATGCGGTGTCGGGTGAGAAATGGATAAAATGTCAACATTGGGTCGGGTGGTTGAATTTTCGCTTAGCTTTCAATTCATCTGGATCCTTTGTTTAACTTGACTTTGTTGCTAAGATTAGTAAAATCAATTAATTTAGATGCCAGCTTATTTTTCTTTTTATTAGTGCGACGTGATACGTCCGGACAAAGTTGTCAACAAACTCACTATTATATGAATATTACAACCGACATGGATTCGCATTGGGAACATTGAGATACTAACCAAACTTGATTTTATTTATTTTTATATTTGTGTGAGTAGCGATAGATAGAGAAATAATACGTAATCATGGGGCCAGATTTGTATTGTTGGAATTGGAAGAAACATGTCATTTTTCAAGTGAGTATTAACAGAAAGTCATCATCTAGCTAGCTTCGAACCCTTGCCAAGAATGTTGAGAGCATGCACTCGTGGCGAGAAAATAAATCAATAGATCATAATCTGAGAAGGGTTGAGAACCATGATGACTATTGAAGTAAGCCCACTGTTTTCAATCCGTCCAAATTAAGAATGCTATGCTAAATTCAAAAACCCAGCCTAAACAATAGAATTAGAAAGTTGGAAATTCAATGGTTGAACCACATTTGCCATGTGGGAACACTGGGCATTCGATGAGACTTGATCCGTTACTGTCCACGCACAGATAAACTTGGTAGAGCTGGCTATTTCCAGATTCGTCCACATTGCACTCGATGTACGGAGTGTAACCCATTCCATCTTTGATTGCTGATTTGATGCTCTCCAAACTGTAGTACCCTCCATTTGGTATAATCCCTGCGATTAATATACACACCATATTCGTTAACAAGATATTTCTTGTAGTAATAATTTCGGCTTTGTTTGTTTCATTTTTTTATAATTTTTTAAAATTAATATATTAATAACTGTCCTATCTCAATATATCTTTTTACATTTTTAATATATTTTTTATACTCTTAATATAAAAAACACCTAAAAATAAACACTAAATAAACGAAACAGACATTCCTGATTTTCATTGTCAGATTTGTGTGAGCATTTTTGTACCTGCGGTTTTCAGGCTCCGAAGGAGGTTGGACTGGTTCTTGAGGCTTAGAGCGGTTGCGAAGTAGTCATGCTGATCCAGTACAGATTCGGAGCAAGTCCCGTGTTTAGTCCACTCATGTTCCCAGAAGGCCAGCCCATCTCCACTTGGGCAGGCTAATGTTGGCCAATCTTTTTGGATTCTGCTACTCAGATCTCTAATCTATTTTAAAAAATAAAATATGACCTTCTTATATCAGTTCAGCTTATATAGCTGGAAAATCACTGATTCTTATTAACGATCAAGCTTTTCAAGATAAATTTTATAAAAAAAATGACAAAAGAAGTAAATATTTGTAATATGCATTTCTGGTGCGCATTAATTACTGAAACAGGGCACCTACCTCAGAGGGATTGAATGGGGCTTGGGGATCACAATTTGATGGATAAGAGCCATCTTTATAGTTGGGCCAAAGCCCATGAATTCCAAAATCTGCAGCAGGCTTCCCTGTCTTTGGGTAGCAACATCCCTTGTTGGTATCGCAATACGAACCTGGCCACTGTAGCGAAAAAAACACACAAAAGAAAACAAACGTAATAAGGATTTCACCATGTGACTGATGACCAGTGCCGAAACCAGCTCTTCGGATTTGGGACTGACTACATATTTATAGTCGGAAAAGATAGTCGGACATATATAGCGCAAGGTCAACAATGGTTACTTCTAAGAAGTTTTTCGGCCGATCAGGGGCTCGGGAGCAGTTCTACCACTACTGATGGCGATAAAATTATTGTTACACATCCTAACTCCGATATTTTTTTTTTGAAAAGTAACTCCGACATTCAATCATCAGGAAAAAAAAAAGATTGAAGTAGAAGAAATACGATGAATTCCTATTCAAATCATCGTTTATTTCTGGTAAGAAAAAGGAGGCGCAAAGCCTAGAAACAAACTATGCTATTACGTCAAGGGATATACGTTATAAAAAAAAAGAAAAAAAGAGAGAGAGAAGTAGAAAAAACTGGTGAAATTACCTGTTGGACAAAGTAGAAGAAATCAAAATCTTGAGAGGCACAAAGGACTGCAAGGCATTGCAATGCTAAGACCTTAATCAGAACTGAAACGTTAATCTTCATCTCCATCGAATTGTATGTATATTCCTCTTTTTTCTTTTCTTTTTTTGGGTTTGTTTCGATGGAGATGAAGTACTGTATTGTGCAGATGATGGATGAGTGGAATGGGAAGCAATTAAATAAGGGGGATATCTTTTTATAGGGCTCAAAAAGGAAAGAAATCCCGGGCATTAAACATGGGACAGATAACCTGCATAATAAAAAGAGCATATTCTTCTGTCCATCATCAGCATTTGGTTTAAAGTGCGAGAATCCGGGCGTTTTTTTTGAACGTGTAGTTCACATTCACATTTGGACATGTCTCGCTAGTACAACGTCCGATATCGAATTTGTTTCCCCTTTGGCTTGTCGGACTTGGGACTGAAACATAAGTAGTATTTCTTTGTTTGTTTTTTTTTTTTTTTTTGAAATTTGGTTTTCAATCATTTAACAGTCACAGATATCGAACCCGAGTGGCTAAAACCATTTATTTTGCCCATACAATTGCTTGTAATTTTCTCCCACTTTTCACACGGACAATTCAAAGTGTTCACACTTTTTTACACCTTTACTATGAAAGTGTAGTGTAATTAATGTTGGGTCAGATGGGCAGTGTACTTGCATGGTGAATGTAACTGAAAGGCCCACAAGGTTTGGTTCATTGTATGGGTTTTGTACCGACTGATGAATGCTTGACCCACACTGAAAATGGCCCGTTTTATCTTTAGTCCAGTTGCGTAACGTCTTAATCCTCTGCGATTCGGCTGTGCTATTTTCAGCCTCGTGTATTCCGATATGGAATGTCTTTGGTCACCGTTAAATTTTTTTCTTTGTCAATTATTGCAGTTGATTATAATTCCCAAGTAAATCTTTTTCTCTCCCAGAGGTTGAGTACAACGATATACACGATTTTATTTTCATTAATTATTATACGGTGATGAGCAGAACTTGTTACTTGATATAGTGGACTTCCTTAATCTTAAATACGTAGTACTATCATTCCTGCCAGACTTTATCAAATTGAAAAGGAATTAGTTATCTATTCCCATCCTGGAGTATAATTAAAGTGTTTGGTTATGATTTTGACATGAAATGAAATTGATGGCTTTTTCGCTGTCAACCCGGCCGGAGGAAATCTCAATTCACACCGGACGGTGTTCTTTTTTCCGATGCAAAAAAAGTCTGGGACCGTGACGGTGAGGAGTGAATCTACTTCCTTTTTTTCTTTTTTAACCACCGATCGACACCTGACAGTTTTGTGCCTTTTCTGAAAAACAAAAAATCCTTTGTCTTAATGAAAGTTTTATGAATATTTCTAATTCTTGCGTCACAATAGTGCATAGAAACAAACGCGCCGATTCAAGCAAACGAGGAAGCATCCATTTCCAAGAGTAATGCATCATTATTAATAAGTGATATCGTTTCTTTTTAAATTGAGAATTAATTCAAATCATACACGAAACATTGTAACGTGAAGAGAAGAAATACATCTCAAAACCAAATTTGTCAAGAGAGAACTCAGATTTCGTCGTGTGATACGGAGGAAAATGAAGGGAACTCTACATTGTTGCCGCATTTGCCATGTGGGAAAACCGGACATTCGATGAAGTCGGAGGCGGAAGAGTCAACGCAGAGGTAAACTTGGTAGAGCTGATGATTGCGGGATTCGTCAACGTTGCACTGTATGAAGGGAGTGTAACCTAAACCTTCTTTAATGGCATCCTTTATGCTCTGCAAGCTGTAAAAATCCCCCGGTGTAATTCCTACGTATTCAGAGCAAAAGGGTATAATCTCGAAACGATGATCAAACGTTTCAATATTCTTCAGTCAAACAAGAGTATGGATTCCACAAACTTTCAAGTTACAACTAAACGTACGTACCTGCATCGTTGAGAAGTCGGAGAAGGTTAGACTTTTGCTTGAGGTCCAGGGCGGTTTGGAAGTATTGGTGCTCGTTCAGGAGTGAACAAGTCCCGTGCTTTTCCCACTCGTGAGTCCAAAAACTGACTCCATCGCTGCTTGGGCACGACAGTGACGGCCAATCTTTTTGCATCCTCTCAATTAGGTCCGACACCTACAATCAATATTCATTACAAAGTTACTAATCACATTCTAAAGATTAATTTTTCATTCCCAATTAGGATACTCACAATAATAAGTTCACCCAACATATTTTAGCAAGTCATCCAAGGTTGGAGTCACTAAATTCTATATATAATTAGGAAAATGATATGTACAGTGAAAATAGATAGTGAGTGATGTAATACTTATGAAAATATATAGTCTCTGATTACGTAACTAGGTATGTACAAGTAGTGTGTACGGATTTGTATTCTCATGAGTCACTAACCTATTTCTTTATATATGGTCACTGTCTATATTATTAATTACTTATATAATTAAGCCATTAATGTTTTGCTTTCAAGTTTTGTTTTTTTTTCCTTATTTTTTTAATGTAAATTTTACAAATATTTGAGTCAGGATTTAGATAACGAACACGTCAAGTTTACAACGTGCAAGTAATATACCAATCATCCACCTAGCGAAACGTCAAACCGTTCCTTTTTTAGTAACGTGAGAAGACAGATAACATCAACATAAGGATCCCAATAAAGGGGCAGTTGAATGGCACGTCAGTTTTTGAGTTAGCAGCCTTAGAAGAATGTCAGCTGATTTTATCATACAATGCTCCATATTTTAGCTAGTTTGATAGTTATATAATTAAGATAACTAAAAAGTAGTTAGTTAAGGCACCTAACTCTTTCTAACTCTTTCTAGTTGGTTCTTAAGTATGTCAACTATAAACCACGAATTGGGATGAAATGTTAGCCCTTTTGATCTGGATATTAAAAAATAAAAAATAAATAAAACAGTAATTTTCGTAATCGATGGCCTAGCTTCATATTTAGCACCTACTAATTAACAAACCATGAAAATCACAGAAAGAACAAGATCATAGTAAAAATTTAATTAACCAGAAAGAACAAGATCATATATACCTCGGATTCATCAAAAGAAGCATCATTGTCGCAATTAGATGGCCAGGAGCCGTCGTTCCGGTTCGGCCAGAGCCCATGAACGCTGAAGTCTTCCGCAGGTTTCCCAGTCGTTGGATAGCAGCAACTTTGTTTTGTGTCGCAGTACGATGCTGGCCACTGCGTAACACAAAAACCATATAAATTCACACAGTTGATGATCATGGAAAATACCAATATCATTGAGGATGAGGACTATTAATATCATCATCTCCAAAAGGAATAACAACAATTATACATGCAGATGTTTGATTAATTCATTCACCTGTTGAACAAAGTAGAAGAAATCGAAGTCACCGTCTTGGGCAATACTAAACACTGTTAGACATTGTAACACCACCAGGATCCTGATCATGAGCAACAATGCACTACTTCTTTTCATCCTCCTTTTTTCAAATTTGCTAATTTAGAAACTATAATTGGTCAATGGGGACGTGTTGTTGCTTATTTCGTGTGGGTTGCAATTTATAGGGAAGAAGATGGCTCAAAACTTTGCAACGAATATCCGGAATAATGTAATTATAATATACGTACCAACCTAGCATTATTATCTACAGACTACAATATTCATAACATGCATACACATCTACTACATCATTTGCGTGTCCATTGTAAGTCTTTGTAAATTAACTTGACAATAAGCATGTAGGGGAGTCGCTATATGAATTCAGTCTTTGGTTCTGGAATAGTCTTGATGCAGAATATTTCAGTATTTTGATTTAGATCTGTGGATGCTGATTAATTCCCTGATTTGATCAATACATAGCAAGTAACTTGCTCCTTTTGATCATCAATCATCATAAGAATTAAGGAACTCCACTGCCTTCCATGCCAAATGAGGAATGAATTTGACTTTGTTGTGTGGTGGTCCAGAGCAGAAATTATTATGTATAGAAAAAAAAAACCAAATTATTTCAGAAATGAAACTACATGTTGAATAGGAACATGCTTAACAGTTAACCCTTAATTTTTGTTTGTGAGAAATAATCAAACCTTTTTATCTAAACTGAAAGACATTAAGAGCAAAATTCTACGAATCTTTCATATTATTCGATTTTTGGCTCCTTTATACGGATACTCCCTTCAGCTGCCCGGTGTATATGTATCATTATCTAAATTACAACAAGGTGTCACAAACGAAGAGATTAATCATGTATTCAAGACTGTATTAGTTTATACCATGGTACGTGATCCCGTTCGCCAATTGAATTGTATTATCAAACAGATATATGAAAGAATTCATGTTATAATAATAAAGATTAGAACTTGTAAGTTGCAATTAATCATTTGTGATATTTCATTTGACTAATTGTTCTTGTACCATCAATCTCTCTTAGATAACTTCTAACAACAAATTAAATTAAGGAAAGTTTTGTTGTTCCTTTTATTATTAAAAGAGAAGAAGAAAAGATAAAAAGAAATAAATTAATGCGAGTTCAACTATATATGGTTGGAACACGATGTAATATAGACTTAAAAAAAAAAAAATCAAACGAAGGCAACATTTATTCTGATGTGAAAGATGTTACATCAACATATCATACTTAATCCCAAATGTGCAAAATCAAAGTACATCGCGTGATTCGTTTTCTGATGTGGAGGAGCTGAAGGAAGGGAACTCTATTCTACTGCCGCATCTGCCATGTGGGAAAACTGGACATTCGATGAAGTCGGAAGCGGAAGAGTCAACGCATAAGTAAACTTGGTAGAGCTGAGAATTCCGGGATTGGTCGACGTTGCACTCGACGAACGGAGTGTAACCTACACCTTCTTTAATGGCATCTTTGATCCTTTCGACCGTGTAAAATTTCCCTGGTGTAATTCCTACATTCATTCATTCAAAAAAAAAAAAAAAAAAAAAATCCATCCAAATGAGTTAGCCTGTCAGAAATTATAATGTGATGTTATTAAGTATTATCTTTCGGGTTTCAGTTATAATTAAATACTCTCTCCGTCTCATAATTATTGTCCAGTTTTACTAAAATGAAAGATTTTATTTTTGGTCAAACTTAACTATAATTTACCTTAAACAACCGGATATACCCTTACATAAGTAATTATTTAACCAATAAGATTTTATGGATAATGTTTTTTACTAAGGACAAATGTGTAACTTGATCCATAAAAAGTCAAATTGGACAATAATTTTGGGACAAAAGTTTTTAGGCAAAGTGGACAATAATTATGAGACGGAGGGAGTATATAAAATCGGAAAGAATGCATTTGTAACATTATCATATGATGTATACCTGCATCCTTGAGAACTTGGAGAAGGTTTGACTTTGCCTTCAAGTCAAGAGCAGTTTGGAAGTATTGGCGCTCATTCAGTAGGGAACAAGTTCCGTGCTTTTCCCACTCGTGAGTCCAAAACCTCACTCCATCGCTGCTCGGGCAAGCAAGTGATGGCCAATCTTTCTGCATTCTGTTGATTAAGTCTGATACCTGTATATTTTTTCAACGAAATTTATGATGAAACTTTTATACTCTTTTTGTCTAAAAAAAAGAAAAATAAAAAAATAAAGTACAAATATGGATGTTTTCTTTAAAGTCTTTTTTTCTTCTTAAAACAAAAAAAAAAAAGCAAATATTTGAGTTATGGTTTAGAAGTTCAATACGTAAAGTTTACTACGTCCAACCAATACTTTATCTGCGAAACTTTGAAGCATTACTTTCGTAACGCGATATAGACGTCCACATGATCCTAACTCCAAAGTAGCACGTCATTTTTATTTTATTTTTTGTCTTTGAGAGTTATAAGTATTATTAGGCATATTTTTTTCTTTTTTTTTTAATTAGTACTCTTTCTGTCTCGAAATAGAAAGAGTATTATTTATGGTCATTAATTGTCAGAAGAGACCCTCTTGATTGGATCCTGATTATGTCAACCAAATTTGGTGAGAACTAATTAATCTTGGTAACTAAACTTGCACGGTAACATATACCCGGTATTTCCCCTATATAACCCTTTCTTTAGATGTAGAGTGAAATAATTCGATGTTATGATGTACAGATGTCACAGATATTATAATAAATGAAATGGGCTCAAGATTTAGCAGTTGCTCTGAAAAGATGCATCATACAACAAAGTGAGATAGTCGCGGGTATGTACCTCGGATTCATCGAAAGAAGCATCATCGTCACAATTAGATGGCCAGGAGCCATCGTTGCGATTAGGCCAGAGCCCATGAATGCTGAAATCTTCGGCAGGTTTTCCAGTTGTTGGATAGCAGCAACTACGTTTTGTGTCGCAATAAGATGCTGGCCACTACGTACACAAAACCATATAGATAGATGCATACTTAATTGATCTTGGAAACCTCCAATATATAAGGATGCGGAATTGCGGATTGTTCGCAAACAAATCTATGAAACTAAAATTTACTTTTTCCGTTAAAAAAAATAAAAAAATTCATTACATTGGACCATTTTAGTTTAATAAACTAACTTACGCAGGTAGAAGTTTAATTTATATATTACCTGTTGAACAAGATAGAAGAAATCAAAGTCATCATCTCGGGCAAGACAAAAAACTGTTACACATTGCAACACCACCAGAAGCCTGAACAACATTGATGCGCTACTTTTCATCTTTGCTTTAGAAATCATAGAATTGGAAGGACAATGTATGAGTTTAGTTTTCTTGGGATGCAATTTATAGAGAAAAAGAAGGTGACGAAACGTCTCAAGGAATATCCGGAAAAGTGTGCTTTAATTTTATAAAATACCTACCAAAAAGAAACCAAACATATATTTATTTTTTATTCATCAAATACACATCGTTGCGTGTCCCGAATGAAGTCTTTGTTCTAAGCGCATGGAAGGAAGGATTCAGAATGGTTTGGAACCCAAAAAAAAAAAAAAAAAAAAAAACTAGTGATGGAGAAATTTGAAGTATTTTAGGTTAAGTTTCAGGAGTTGTTAAATTATTGATAATCAAATAATCAAAATAGTACTGGACAATTTCAACTACAATTTGCATTTAAAAAAATAGAGTATACTAGTCTGGGTTTATCCCGAGTGATTTCTGAACAATGCTTATTTCTGGCAAATTGCATATATATCCCATGAAGTCATACATGGGTGATACTGGCAAATTGCAACCATTTTGTGTTTTCTTTCAATTTATTAATATATGAACTATATTGTCATCGTATCAAGTTGTGTATAGAATAATTTTGAGGACAGTAAAATTTGATGAAAAACTTAATTCACATGCTGTAAGAGTCTGTATTAAAATCCATCATATTTCAGTCATTATTCCATATATTTATGACAACATGGACAAAGTCTATAAGTCTATGTTCATAAATTCAGCAATAATCCATCATATTTCAGTCATTTTTTAATATATTTATGATATCACGGACAAAGTCTACAAGTCTATGTTCATAAGTTCATCAATATTTTTGAACAATATCCAACTCATACAGGATATATAAGGGTTTTAAAACGTCAAACACGAACTTGAAATTGTAACAACTACAAGTGGGTACGTGACTTGAGTGTTTGAATATCTCTAGTTTTTTTCCTTGTTATATAGAGTGTATACAATCCTTAATTAGAAGTTGTGTTCATTTAACTAAATTTTTATTTTGAAACGAATGCAATATGATTCTTTGATTCGTTTAACTTCACATTAACTAATTAAAGACTAGTGTTCCATTTGTTCTAGTTAATAGCTTTGGTCAATATATAAGAACAAATCGTGTTACGAATCAAGTTAATTACAACGTAGATCGATGTACATGAATAACATATGTGTTTGTTGACGGTGTGTAAGTAATTATTGTATTCGAATTATGACTTCATTTATCTAACTCTAAGCCGACTTCTACAATAGTAGTTATGCTAAGCGCCATAATAAATTTTTTTTTTAATTAAAAAAAACGAGAAACGGCAAAATTTTAATACCGTATTGAAGAAATTAGTTATATTATATATATATATATATAGCCGCCCCGAAATTTCTTCAGTCCATTCAGAAAACAGATCAATTACGATTCCTGAAAGGCGTGCTCGGATTAGGCATAGTGTGCACGACTTCTGATGATTGTCCCTTTCATTTAGAAAAACAGAAAAGAAAATCAAACCGAAAGGTACAGGAGAAAAAGTAACAGTAATCATTTAGAATTACTCTTTCTTTTTTCTATTCTAAAAAAAACGAAAAAAAAAAAAACAGAACGTAGATCAAATTGTAATTAGAAGAGAAGAGCAATTCTGTTATACTATTCTCTATTTTATTTCTTGGATCTCGCTTTAATACTTTACTTTACGATGCATTATTTATTTCTTTAATGAACTATTAAAATGGAACCTATTTGCTAATACAACTGAATAATTGCATAAATAATGTGAACATGATTTTATTTTTTGAGTAATATTTGAAAACACATATTGTTGCGGGGCTGCTGCTAGTACTTCAAAGCAGTTATATTCCTTTGACGTTACGGCAGTGTTACACTTGGGATTGAAGGTAAAATAATAATTCAATTAAAAAAAAAAGTTTAACAAAGAAAATTATTTTTCGGAAGACTTGCGTTTAAAAATCATGATGATAAACACAGACTTGCATGGACAATCGGACATGGTAATGAATGAAAAAGTTCAAAATGATGGGAATACTATACTAGAGGAGCATTTCCCAGATGGGGTAACAGGGCATTCAATCACATTTGATCCAGAAGTATCAACGCATACGTAAATTTGGTAAAGCTGGCTATTCCCAGAAGAATCAGTGCTGCATTCAATATAAGGGGTTGCGCCAATTTCACCCTTGATTGCATCTTTTAAGCTGCTCAAGCTGTATGATCCGTCGTCCGGTTGGATTCCGGCACCCTGAAGGATTTGGAGGATTCCCAGATTGTCTTTTAGGTCAAGTGCTAATTTGAAGTAGGCGTGTTGGTTTAGGACGGATTCTGAACATGTTCCGTGCTTATTCCACTCGTGTGACCAAAATGTTGTGCCATTGCTGCTTGGACACGACAGTGATGGCCAATGCTCTTGCATTCTGCTCACCAAGTCTGATATCTGTAGATTTTTTCAAAATTAGTTTACTTTGTCGAGGTAATTGAAACAGTAGGACAAAGGTCGTCTATTAAAATGAGACGGGTGTTAGTAAACCAAGGAAAACCCTTCTGATTAATTTGTCCAAATAATGATTTGGTAGAATCACCTGGGATTCGTCGAAAGGATTGCTAGAATCACAGTTGAACGGGTAGGAGCCATCATTGTAGTTAGGCCAGAGACCATGAATACCGAAGTCTGATGCGGGTTTACCATATGTAGGATAACAGCAGCTTTGATCTGTGTCGCAATATGTTCCTGGCCACTGCACATAAAAAAAATGTAGAACTATCATTGAGTAAAGAATTAGAGTTTATACTAATATATTCTAATTGGCTTAATTACCTGCTGAACAAAATAGAAAAAGTCGAAATCTTGTGCAACACACAAAACTAACAAGCATTGCAAAACAGTGGAGAAGATAAGCAAATTGAGTTTCACTTCCATTCCTACTTGTGTGTGTGTGTGTGTGTGGGGAGAAGATGATAATGAGTTTCTTTTATAGCATCAAACGGGAGTAGAAAACTACAAGCTTTATGTGTGAACAAGACAGATGATTTCATATGTTTCTGCTTGGCTTTAGCCTAACTATCACTCTCTGGGAAACTGAATAACTTCTAAGGACTTCCAATTATATGCGGATATTCCAAAAAGATTACGATCTTCGGTATGGACAATCGTTTTTGTATCCTGATTTAAGCACATCCCTGATGACAAATTTTTCCCTTACGGATGGCGTGATCAATATTTTTTATTCTGCAACGACTTTGAGCTCAATTTGCTAAAGAGATAGCCAATCATTTGATCAGGGATCCAGCTACTCTTCTATTTTATATATTTGGAGTTTGAAATCCAAATATGAAGGCACACAACAGCAGAGAAAATGTGGGAACTTAATTATAGTGACTCAATTATTGAAGGTATGATCATATTTTATCAGGATACAACCGCAGTTGTCATAATAGGAAGCATGACTCATAATGTGGAATCCTGAGATTGAAAAAATATAGGCTCCATTTGGACAAGAGTTTTAAAAAGACTTTTAAAGCTAAAAAGTTTGTTTAGAGTTTAAAATGCGTTTGGACAAAATAATTATAGTCTTTTCTAAACATCAATTTGAAAAAAAGAAGGTTTGAAATAGACTTTTTAGAAAATAGGTAAGGGGTATTTTTTAATTTTTTGAAACAGTCTTTTTAACTCGGTTCACGGGTCATAATCTGGGTCTAAAGTGGGTTATAAAAAATCAGGTCATGAATATCATTAACAAGACTAAAAAAAAAAAGAGGTGCAGCCCACTTTTATTTATAATTTTTATTTATTTTCAGTTTTATCCTATTTGTTCAAATAATTATATCTTTTAATATATAAATATTTAGACAACATGCTATATATCAAATTAATCTACGCGACGAGATCTTTCTATTAAGAACCATTGTTAATATTTTTGAATTAAAAATTTCATTCAGATTTATATATCTAAATTACTACATATATTGTTTAACTATTATATATATGAAAAGGTAAATTATTTTTTTTACCAAAAAAGCAGTTTTAAAAAAGACTTAATCCAAATGGCTTTTTCATATTTTTAATTCATAAAAGGGTTTTGAAAAATTCTTGTCTAAATGCATTATTTTCCAAAAATTATTTTTTCAACTTTTGTTTCAAACATACTTTTTTGAACAACTTTTCAAAACTCTTGTCCAAATGGAGCCATAGTAATTCAACATCATTGAACATTTTTGCGTCCATTATTCATCTCAAGTTTATTTGAAATGAAGGAAAAACCAACCAAGGCCCTCCTTACATAGTACATTCTCAAGTTCCTAAAAGACTGGAAACTGAATCAAGGTATCACATTTCCTTATCGGAACCACTGGACATTCGATGACATTCGAACCAGTAGCATCAACACACAGAAAGATTTGGTATAACTGCACATTCCCTGAGGCGTCATGGTTGCATTCAATCCCTGGGACGTGCCCTGTTCCCAACTTGATAGCTTCTTCCATGTCTTCCAACTTGTAAAACTTCCCATCCGGTAGAATACCTTCGTAAAAGTGCATCATTTTATCATTTCAGAGATGTTAAATTTAGGAAAATTCAATTGGTTCTGAGCAATTGTCTCTGTACCTGCATTTTTTAGCATTTCGAGGAGATTCACTTTGTCTTTGATATTAAGAGCTGCTGCAAAGTATGCGTGCTGGTCAAGTACAGTTTCTGAACAAGTACCATGTTTTGTCCATTCATGTGTCCAAAACTTGGTATTGGTGCTTTTCTTGCCGCAATTGAAAGTTGGCCAGCTCTTCTCCATCCTACTGATCAGATCTGAGACCTATATATATTACATGAAGATGTGGCAAATGTCATCACCAATCATAAGAGAGTGATGAGTATACTACTAATTTGGAAAAATGAAACATTGCAACCTTGGATATCGAGAAGTGGTGGATTTGAAACATCATGTAATGAATAGTGAGTGTGCACTTTATAACAAAATGGGTTGTAACGCTACCGGTGCTAGTCTAAAAAATGTTATCAGAATACAGAAATGAGACAAGATATGATCACCTTGGTTTCATCGAATTGGCTCCTCTGATTGCAACTTGATGGATAGGTATTGTTGTTGTACTGTGGCCACAGGCCATGAATGGTGAAGTCAGTTGCCGGCTTTCCAGTAGCTGGGTAGCAACAACTTCTCTTTGTGTCACAATATGATCCTGGCCACTGAAACAAACACGCAAGATGTAAAACAGTATGCAGTTATATCAGAATTTCATGCAAAAGTAAAATTTTCCAGCCGAAGATACTCACTTGTTGGACAAAGTAAAAGAAATCGTATCCCTGGGAGATGCATAAATATGATAGGCACTGCAATAACAACAGGTAATCGAAGATTATGCTGCTGAAATTCATCCTTGTGGGCACAGAAAGTTAGACCAAGAGAATAAACAGGACCAAGGGTGCTTTTTTTCTCAAAGGAATTATTTATAGATGAAATGAGGTTCCAAAGAATAATAATAGCCTGAGATACGAATATGTGATTGTAATTCAAAGTCGTACAGCAATTAAAACAACTATCTATGATACATTATCATCAGTACTTGACTCAAATTTTCCCTGCATGATGCATGTGATTAAAATAGGAAGGCCGACCAAACAAAGTTTTCGTACTCTTCGCCGAAGAATCTTCTTGTCTAAGATCTCCCTTTCATAATCTGGGAGTCTTCATGTGGCTGCAATTATTTGCAGGTGTCATCTTGTTGATCCTTGCTTTAATAAGATCAAAAGAGTACACTTACTACACTTACTAGTGGTCCGCTGCAAGTTTTGTCACCTTCTAATAATGTTGATTTCTCCCAACGAGAGATAAATCATATGGAAAAAGATCGTCGATGAAAGAAGCCCATTCTAAAACAGGGAAGTCTTGGACTTCACTGATCTCTTCCCGAGAAAAAAAATCAGATCTCCCTCCACCCCCCTGAGCCATGGTCATTCCTCCATTAGCTCTCAGACAAGCTGAAAAATGGTAACATGTACGAAGAAACAAGTTCCAAACTCATTGATGGAAAAGTAAAGCAATTCTTTGCTGCATTTTCATCTCACTATTTCCATAAAACAAAGGACAACATAAAATTTTTTCAGCATAGGATTCTTCCTTTCAGTGGTACATGACTACCAATAATCCCCACAGGAACACTTTCCATCTTTGAAATGGTGAAACCGTTGCACATCTCTCAGGATTATCATTCTATCAGAGACTAATGAAATCAATTTAGCTGCTGCATGACAATCCCTGCAAATCCTCAGATTCTTGACAACACGAATGGTTTCCCCAGGGGGACTATTTAAAAGACCAAACGTGATTGCCAGTTTCTCACTATGATATCTCAGAGTAGATTCTTTTTCTTCATCTTCCATGTCCAGGTGCACTACCAAGGAAGTATCAGGAACATAACCAACTAATTTCAATTTTTCCATTAATTTATCTACCGCCTGATGCAGTTCTCTATACTCTAATTTAGTACCATCACCAGAGAAGAATTCATGAACTACATTGTCCAGTTCTATTGAGCTACAACCTGGTACCTTAGCCACTACACGATCTTTCATCATCCTCCGATAAACTTTTGCATCTTCCCATCTTCCAGCTCTGGCACACATGTTTGAGAACATTACATAATCCCCACTATGCGATATCTCCAACTTGAAAATTTTTTCCATCACCAGCTCACCCAACTTGATGTTTCCATGGATGCTACAAGCAGCTAACAAAGTCCTCCAAAGCAATGGGGTAGGCTTAATAGGCAAATTCTTAACAAACTCATATGCTTCATCCAAGCGCCCAACTCGACCTAACACGTCCAAAACACAACCATAGTGTTTGATACTAGGAACAATCTTGTACTCATCTCTCATTTGATGGAAGTAACTAAAGCATTCGTCAACTAATCCCGCATGGTTGCAAGAGTACAAGAGTGCCAAAAATGTGATTCCATCAGGTTGAACTTGGCAACTCCTCATCTCTTCAAAGAGAGAAATAGCTTGAACAGCACAACCATGAACAGCATATGCCATTATCATAGTGGACCATGCTTGTGTATCCCTAAAACTCATTCCCCTGAAAACGGATAAAGCATCCTCCAAACTTCCAGATTTTGCATACATATCAACTAGTGCAGTATTAACCTTAACATATCGATCGAATCCATTTTTGTTCACATACTCGTGCAACCACTTCCCCAGCTTCAGTGCTCCAAGCAAAGAGCAAGCAGCAATTACACCAAGAACCGTCACATCCGTGGCATTAAGCTTTTTAGCTTGCAATTCACGGAACAATGACAGTGCCTCATCCGGTTCACTGCTCCTCACATAACCCATAATCAGGGCATTGTAGTTCACCACACAGGGGTCACTAATGCCATCAAAAACCCGCCTTGCTGAGCCAATTTCATTATTCTCAATGTACATATTCATAAGGGCAGGGCAAACAAACTCATCCCGGTTAAGCCCATATTTTATAGCAAGAGAATGCAACTGCTTGCCTTCTTGCAAGGCATTCGCATTTGCACAGGCTTTAAGCAGAGAAGGGAAAGTGTAATAATCAGGAACTAAGCCTAAACATAAAATATGTACAAACAGCACTAAACTTTGTAATGGAATTTCACTTTGGGCATACCCACGAGCCATGAGGTTGAAGAGGACAATATCCGGGTCAGGAATTTGATCAAACAGCTTATTGGCATAGTAAAGTGACGCAAGGTTACCTTCAAAAGTGCAGAAATCAATAAGCTTTCTTACGAAAAAGATATCATTTTGGTGTTGGGTTTTGATGGAATAGGCTTGGATTTGCTTGAGCTCTCTGAGAGACTTGCATTTGGGTATCAGAGAAAAAAGATAGCCTTTGGAGAAGTTCTCTTGTAATGGGCTTTCTGAATTAAGCGGAGGAATTTTGTTTAAATTCGACACCATGGATGAACATGAGACATTCATGGCTTCATGAAAATTCTTAATTCGCCTGTGCAATGAAAATGAACTACGGGCGAGAATCTAGAATGAAGAAGGCCATGATAAAAATGGAAAAAGAAAGGAAAAGAAATATCGTAATCAAAATTCTTAATAATGGTGTTTTATGTTTTATACGATTTTTTTATACGTAACTGGAACCACGGTTAATCACGCTTTCTAGTATTGCCCCGTGCGCCTTAGTTTATTTGTTTTCCCCATCCTTTTTAAGTTCTAATTAAAAGAAAAAAAAATCAAGTAATTTCTTTATAAATCCGCCTTTGATCACCTTTTGCATGTGTGTATAACGTATACTACCAATACCATGTACAAATGGTGATTATTGTAAAATTTCATGTAATTTATATGTACGTGCAATCTTAATAAAATTTGTTTAACTGTAAAACTATTACTAGATGTAATCCGCGAGCACTTGTTGAAACGACTTTTTACAAGAGTACGTTATAAGATAAGTAAGGGCGAGAATTGCACAATGCAGAAAATATTACGGGCTTGTTTGGTCAACATTTTGTTTTAATTTTGGTTTTAGTTTTTTATTTGGGTTTGAGATGTAATTTAAAATGTGGTTTGAGAGAAAATTTAAAAAATTATTTAGATAACATTTTAAATAAAATAATAATATTTTTAGACCACCATCAGACCACCTCCACCATCGGCACCGCCGCCGGCCGAATTCCCGCCAAGTCGCTGGAAACCGATGGTCCGGCGGCAGAGGTGGTCCGGTGGTGGTGTAAAAAAATAGTGTAAAAATAATATTTGAAATAAATTTTAAAAATTAAATTAAAAAGTTATTTGGATAGTATTGAATTTTGTATTTGAGATGTGTTTTAAGAGGTAAAATGAGACAAAATGCCAAATGTGGTGTTGGTCAAACGAGACCAATGAATTTTAAAAATATCAAGTTACAAATAAATGCATGTATAAATAGAACATAATGTATATTTAGGACCATGTTAAAATAAAATATGTATTAGTTGTAATCTATACTAAATGTTTGCCCGGGGCAGAAGACCGGGGGCGGCTCCACTTAACAAATTGATATGTAGCTATAGTAGAATATATATTATGCCGTAACAAAAACAAGACATATATTATATCATGATTAAATAGTGATAAAGAATAAAAAGAATTATTCTCAATGATCTAAGTGTAAAAATACATCCGAAAATAAACATCCATTCCTCAGTGTGAAATATACTGAAATACCTAGTTTACTTTGATGACTGCAGAATTATACATGATTATAGGGTAAAACTAAACAAAGAAAACTTGAGCCTGGACAGTTCATTCAGGAGTATCCTCCTGCAAATATGGTAGGACCAGTGGATTTGTTGGTATATCATAATGTTTATTGTGTCGAGCTGTAGTATTGACGTTTGAGTATATGTAACTAACCCTTTCTCGAGCTGTAGCCACATACATGCTTGTGTAATCTAGTTGATTAGATAGGATCATGCAAAATCCTGAAGAACCACCTATTACAATACATGACTAAAACATATATGATCATGTGTAAAGCTTTCGTTCATGAAAATGAGTAGAATATGCTTTCGCCCAATCTAATGAATCTGTTTACATATTGGCCAATTCACTTGTTGATAATATAGTAAAGTCAATGCTGCATTTGATTCAAGAAAGTCGCATCATAAACGTGCACATAAAATAATTCAGATTTATAAAAGCCCAAGTAGTTGTCTATATATTGGCCAATTTACTCATAAGTATTTGCTTATGATTTTGCAAGTACCAGGATATGTCTACACTATACAGTAGTGAAAACATCAGAATTCAAACAGAGAAAAGGTTAGTCATCACACTCCAATCTTCTTTATAATTTTCCTAAAAAAAAAAAACAAAAAACAAAATCCATGCTGATTGAATTGTAATATTGAATTTCATATGGAAGGCTTACCAAGACAAAAAGATTAAAACAAACCAAAATAAACCAGTGAAAATTAGATAGTACAATTAGACTACCAAATAAGCAAATTGGAAAAGAAAAAGAAAGAAAAAGAGAAAAGGATATAATTACCAGAAAGTCTTATCTTATTGTTCATGGTCATGAAATAAATTATGACAAAAAAAGCTGATATTTCCTGCAGACAATAAAGGTAACAAATGATCAAATTATGATCACAAATCTGCGTGCATACATATTTAAACAATCGAAAGAGTTCATCCAATTTAATACCAAAGGGAAAAAAACACAACTTGAATCTATGCGTGCACTAAATGTTAAACTTGATTTTTTAACTGAAACTAATAATTAATTCATAAAACAAAATCGTGGCCCAGAAAGAAAAAAGAAAGGCACAGTTGAATGATCTGATTCATTAGCAAAACTCAAGAAAAAATTTGATTAAACTTAATGCCCACCAAAAGAACCAAATCACAACTTAATTGATTAACAACCAATGACCCAATTTTTTTGTTAATAAAACTAATAATTAATCTCAAAAAATTTGCTTTAGCCGAAAACTAACTCCACATAAGCAAAAAGGAAACAAACAACAAAAGTGTGCATGTGCAATTCGCGGAGGAGAAAACCCACCGGGAAGCATAAGGAGCAATTCGCGGCGGATTTTTTTTTTTTCATTACTCCCTCTGCAATTGTAACTTCTCCCGGAGATTTCTATAAGCTGTAGGATTTATATGAATAATGAAAAAAAAAAACAGAGCAGAAATCGGATCCTCTCTATTTGAAATTCAAATGAATATCGTGATTAATGAAAATTGATTTGAGGACGCATTGCTTGATTTCAGATAGAGAGGATCGCGTATATCCTTTTAATTGGGGAATTCGAGTAGGCAAAAAAAAACACTAAAAGATAATGTTTCACTTTTGAGATTAATTTTTTTTTTATTTTTATAATCCATTTATTTCTACTGAATCAGTAAAGAGCTAAGTATCATGAAAAAAAAAAGGCTCTTTTGACTTTTTTTTATTTTTGGCAGGAAAAAAACTCTGTAAAACTGACACTTATTCTAAGTGTCATTTGCTTTTATAAAATGTAAAAGGATGCACATGAAACGTGCAATCTTAATGAAATTTGTTTATCTGTAGAACTATTATAAGCACATGCACTATATGTTTATAAGTGTACTTTTACAATAAGAGTACGTATGTTACAAACGATTAGCACGAATTGAAAAAAAAAATAAAAATTTATAACTTGCTACATCTCATTCAATAATTAATATGTAGAATCTGAAAACTCCATAAACTACTCCATTATTGTGTCTTGATATGTATAGCAATGTTTGTCAATGATATGTAAGTTCCCACCACTGAAACAATTACCCCCACAATCAATATTACACTTATGAATATCAACTCTAACCCAATCTTTCTATATGCGTTCTTGATCTTCAAATAGCATAGGCATGGGAACAACACGGAAACGCTGATACTCAGAAATGCACCTATGAAAGCCATCACATATCCAAAATATGGTATAGTTAGAGCTACCACCACAGTGCTAATTACCAAGGCTGTTCTGATGAGGATGCTAATAATTTTGCTGTTGCGGAATGCTGACGTGTCCTCAATTGCCGTCGCGATTGGAGCAACAATGATGCCATATTTGGTGATGGGGTTAATTAATGTGGTGTAAATGGCAATTTTGGAACTGATTTTGAAGGTTGGAAGATTTAAAGTGATTTGTGATGCCAAATTCTGTCCAAACATGAGGTATCCTAGCACCGCCATTGATCCATAGGTGATAGTGCTTAGGGCAAAGCAAACAAGCAAAACCTGAATAAGGAAAACAAAACATTTATAGATTCAGCAAAATGTAACAAAACAAAGAATGAGAAATTATAGTTGATTACCCTGGGGAATTGACTTCTATCTTTCATTGAATTGCAAAGTGTTGGAAAAATTGCATGGCCACAATAACAAAAAGTGTACAAGCTGATTGTTGTGGGAACTCCACTCCATCTCCAAAGTGATCCCTTCTCATGAAACCCAACATCATCAATTGCACCAACCCAAAAAACAGAACCAAGAAGAACAAAAGAAGCCAACACCCCACCAAAAGAAATGTAAGCCAGTAGTCCTAAGCTCCTCAGCCATGTTGTAGGCAAAATAATGAGTGCAGTGAATATTACAAACACTTGTTCTCCTCCCAATTTGATTCCACCAAGGTGGAAATATGCATTTGGGAATAGTTTGTGTAGATTGTCACCTTCTAATATAAGGAATTCGACGGCAACTAAGTAGAGCTCAAGATACATGAAGGTAGATATAGTAAGCCTTCCTTTTCTTCCAAAAGCAAGTTGGCCAATATCAGGATAGGTTTTAATTAGGGGATCAGTGTCCATGCATTTTTGTAAGAGCAAGCCTGTGTAATAACAAAGAAGGGCCACTGCTAAAAGAATAATTAGGCTTAGCCAACCTCCTTCTGATAGTGCATATGGAATTGACAGTATCCCTACTCCTGAAATTCCAACCAACAAAAAAAAAAATAACAAAGTCAAATTAATTATTATTTTATTTATTGATTTTGTAGTGGGAGTGACAATTTGTAAACGTATAAAACATTATCGGTGCACCTAGTTATAAACGGAATTTATTTCATGAATAACCAAAAAAGAAGATTTAAGTTGGATTATTTATAACACCGTCTCAAGTTTGTCTCGTGCACATAAGATATCCATATGTTGTCTAAATGAAATCTACTTGGAGCGCTATAAGAAAAAGAAAAAGAAGAAAAAAAGCATAGATGTGATAAAAGAGTATGTAATTAACCTGACAAAGCATTGAGCCCATTGAAACAAGTTCTAAGGAATGTGGTGCCCTTTTGTGGTTGTTGCGAAGCTTGATTTTGGCTCTCTAAACCACTGTGGAAATCCATATTGGTCATCTTCTCTTCCTGTATTTGGATTTTGGAGTGACATTATGAGCTGAGGAAGATGGCTATTTATTGATGTGAAGACAGAATAAAATTTAGTAAGAAAAAATGCTGATGGCATTATATTTTTTGTGGACTGTTTTTTTCTTTCTTTCTTCTTGTTTTTTTTTTTTCCCAGTCCCATTTACTGATCTCATTATTGAACATACTTGGATCTAAGGCCAAATTGCTAAAGAATGTGAGTATGAGTAGACTGCCATTTCAGGGTTTTTGTTTGGTTAGTGGGAAAAATAGCTCATTCAATTAAATAGTGTGATTGTACACACTACCACAAATAAACAATTGTTTGGTCATTTTTTTAATTCCATGACATAATGCAACTACACTTTGTCTTCCACCATTGTCTCACCCCCAAAAAAAATGGAAAAAAAATTATTATTTTTTACTTCATTAATACTCCCTCCGATCCTTATTATAAGACATTTTGATTTCGTTCTACCTAAGATGTCTTTTTAATTGAAAAAAAAATCTTAAAAATATATTTTCACATTCGTTGTGTTCTCCTAATTAGTATGAACTGTTTTTATGGTTTTTATTTCAATTAAAAAAACATACTAAGTGAAACCTAAGACGAAATCAAAATGACTTATAATAAGGATAAGAAGGAGTACACATTATTATTGTACCGTACGTACGGGTTACTCATTTTCAGTATGTGTTTTATGTTTAATTTAAAATTTTGAATGTCCTCTTATTAAAGAAATGATGTTTAACTAATTTAGGTTTAAGTCCATACAATATTTCTTGTATGAACTAATTAAGTAGGATTGATTACGAGTTTGAAACGCACAAGTCATATATAAGAAGCATCACATTCTTCATATACTGTTTTTTTTTTCCCACCTAAATCCGGTATATACTGTTTTATCCACCTGTCTAAACTTTTAGAAGAAAATGATTGCATGGTAGATTTCCACTGGAACCGGAACCTGAATGAAACAAATCATAAACTATTACATAATTGCTTTCTGGCGACCACTAAGAATATAAAGGCAATGAAAGCTTTTTTTTACCTCGATCTCAAAATTAACTAGCACTATTCTCTCTTCAAGAATTTTTGCTTTAATCTTATTATCTTTTAAATTTTGCACATCATGAATTTATTATGTACCGACATATTTATCAAATAGTATTAATACGATTAATAAAATGAAATGCGTGATTTTCATTTTTTGACCAATCAACTTCGGTCTTAAATTAAAGCAGCTAATCATGAAGACAAAAGTAGTGTTCGTATTGCACGCATGCATGAACTGGGTATCCATTTCTATAAATCATTTTTTATCTTCGTATATTTTGGAGTGATTGAAACCGTACTACTTCAAAAGCGCTTTTTATGTATGTTTAAAATACTTAATTCTTTAATAATTTGATGCACTGTTGGTGAAACAATTAATTAATTGATTAAGATACTGCAAGCAGTTCAGACCACAATGTTGCTACCTTGTGTTTTATAGTAATATTTCTTTTGCTGAATACTAGGGTTATTAATATATTACAAAAACCCGCAAGTATTGAATCTAAACTTATAAAGTGAAGCACTTAGCTATTAAGATCAAAGAAAATAATAATAATACTAATAAAGAGTAAAAAGTTGTCGACCAAAACAATTAATTAATTAGACATGCAATTTACCTCGTAGATGAGTTATTAAAATGTGATCATGAGGCCAAAAGATATTGTTAATTTTTAATTGTTAGCATTGATTTCGATTGATGGGGATATGGATTATTATTTTAATTTAGATTTTGGTGGGGGACCAAAAAAATGAATTTAGCAGCAATCATAGTGTTCAAAGCCTATTAAAAAAAATAAAAATAAATCTGTGCGTTTTTTTTTCTGCATATTTTTCTGTTTAATCTCTGTTTGCGTGATTCTTCCATTGGCTATATATTTTAAGATACCAAATCTTTAACAAAATGGAAAAAAAAAAAAAAAGGTGACATGCATTAGAAGATAATTGTATCCAACGAGAAGCTTGGGGCCAACACTTTGGGAGGGGAAAAAAAAACTTAGTTGTATGTGTGATATGTATATTCGTCCACATTGTTCGTTTTATTTGGATTAGAAAAAAACTTGTTGAACCTTTATTTTTATTATTATATTAATTAAATTATTGGCACATACTAGGGGTATAACTAAATTCAAACATGGTATGGTATGCAACTATCTTAATTAGATAGTAGTAAACCATTATGCATGGTCAAGATCGAAAGGATAATATATTTTCGCCGTTACAAAATGACTGTGATCTTTTTTTCTTGTATAATTATAGTAATAAATAAGATAACTATTTTGGGGCGAATTGCGTAACATATTTTTGGCATTCATGCATGGAATGATCAAATTATTAGAGATGGCTATACGTAACGTGGTCGTAAAACGATATCTGCACTTTTCATTACCAACCCATGCACGACTCTTTCTTTTCTTTCTTTCTGGCTTCTGCATGGCCTCACAATCAAATTTGATCGCATCTTTTTTACTTTATACGTTTAGAAACCATCGACGAAAAAATGTAGGAAAATTATGTCCATTTCCTTATGATCCTTTTTCATTTTCTTCAGGAAAGGTGAGGAGTATGAAGTCGTGATTGAAGCCTAAACGTCAGTTCCTTTCCTTTGAACGGATTACTCGTTTTTCATCTGGACATAACCATTTCTTTTTTCCTATTCACCATAAATTCTATACACGAAGGATAGAGAAAAAGCTATGAAATTCAAGACTAAAAGGACGTCAACTAGTTTGCTCAATATACATTGTGGCATTGGTCATGGAAAAGGAAACACAGACAAATGGAGGTAGACAGGTGCATTAGTATTAGCTTTAAAAAAAGATTTTTTTATTATAGTGGTGCATCATGACCACTCATAAGTCATAATATCCATTATGCACTAACCATATCTTCACTTTATTGTTTTTAAGGGATAAAGCTACTATCTCTTTCAATTTTTTTGTAGATAAAGCCGACGAATTTTATTGACTAACTTTTGCCATGTCTTCACTTTTCAATTTTTGCATTCTTTTTCCAAATATGGTACCCATATTATATACTATTATCATTGATCTGAAATGGCACTCCAAAGCTTGTATTATTTTATCAGTGGTAAAAAATGCAAGAGTTAAATCAATCCCCTATTATTGGATTGAAGCAATTAGTACATAGACAAGATCCATTATTCTTTTTTACATTAGAGTAAAATATTTTGAACCCTATCTCTCTCTCTCCCTATATATATATATATATATATATATATATATATATACACACACACAACCTAAAAAAAAATTATGTTTAAAAACTTTAGTGATAGTGACTATGGCTTACTCCCTCCGATCCTTATTGTAAGGCATTTTGATTTATATTAGTTTCAGCTAGTATGTTTTTTTGAATTGATAAAAAAATTTTAAAAATATGTCCAAATAAGTAGGAGAGTACAATAAATGTGAAAATATTTTCTTTTTAAAAAAAAATTTCAACCGAAAAAACATACTAGTTGAAACTTTAGATAAATCAAAATACCTTATAATAAGGACCAGAGGAAGTATATGTGTGTGCGACTGTGTAAAATGGCTTTTCTAGAGTGAATTTGATGATTCTTGAAGGCTCATATAAGCCCACATGTAGTTCCACCTCAAAACCAATTGACAATGAGGAGAGTAACAACATGAGGTATATATGTTGATCAAGGTGGATTCCTAACACCAATATGGGACAAGTGTCTTTTACTTGTTTTTTAAGTTCAAAGGGATATTTAACAATGATGGAATGGATAAAACTACAATACAAGAGAGGAAGTTAAGTCTAAATTAATCTTATATGTATAACTATATTATACGGATAAATTCCCTCTGACGACTATGGTGGATAATGTGTTTTACCGGTCATTTATCATCATAATTCATAGAAATTTTAATTTATGGAAAACATAGAAATGTGTATGCATAATCACAAGAACAATGACTCTTAATAATGTCAAGTAATTATTGTCAACTCATTCATATGGGCAATTCGAGGTAGGGCCTAACTCTGTTGTATCATAATCGCAGCACCAGCTTGCAAATGAAAATTTTGTTTTCAGTCCACTATCTAGACAAAACCCAAGTAAATCGGACCATTATAGTTAGATACCAATATGAATTAAAAAGCCCAGAAACCCATAACGGACCTGACTAGACAAAGCCGGATTGGACCGACAAGTTATATGTAAAATATCCAAAATACCCCTTTCAAATAAACATTGGAATCGCAAATTGACCATCAAAATGACTTTGAAAAAAGGGAACGACGAAAGAAAAGAGAGAAAAAATAGAAAACCAGACAGAACCCAGAAAAGAAAGGGCAGAGGAAAGAGAGGGCCGAAAGTTTCATCCGCCAGCAGCCCTCTCCAATCTCCCGGAAAATTAAAAAAAAAAAAAAATAAATCTTGGATTTCAAATTACAAATATATAAGTTCCCCCTTTCATTTTTCGTTGGATTTGTGAGCCCTATGGTTGGCTCTTTTGGATTGTAATCGTTCATATGGTTCACGAATCCCCACCTCTTTGATGCGCCGATCCAATGTCCGTACTGTAAATTGTGATAACAATCACGAAAAGGTGGGGAAGATGGATCCGGTGAAGCTTCAATTCCGTTCCAGCCGACCCGGATACAAGTTCCCACATAAGCAAAACACCAAATCCAGCTTTGTTTTCTACACTTCCGTTGCATTTGTCACTGCGATTGTCTGTTATCTTTTGTTCTTTCCTAACCGAAGTAGTGATCGAGGTTATGCTCATCAGAGGTATGGGATTGTGATTGATGGCGGGAGCACCGGGACGAGAATCCATGTGTTTAATTACCAGGTCCAAGATGGGATTTTGAAGTATGATTTTGGGAAAAATGGGTTGGCATCAATGAAGGTGAATCCTGGGTTGTCAGCTTATGCAGATGAGCCCGAGAAGGCCCGGGCGGCAATAGAGGAGTTGTTGGCGTTTGGAAGGAAAAGGGTCCCTCGGGATTACTGGAGAGAAACCGAAATAAGGTTAATGGCCACTGCCGGGATGAGGATGTTGGATGATGCTGTGCAGGAAAAGATTCTGGAGGCATGTAGGAGGGTTCTAAGGGGATCAGGATTCAGGTTTTACGATGATTGGGCTGCTGTCATTTCGGGTATGATCAATTATACCTTGTTTGGGTTGGCCTTGTTTTGGTATTCCTTCTTACTATTCTTTAGTCAATCAGTAGCTAATGACGTCTGTTTGTCCAAGTTGGTATGACAAACTTGCACACTAGTGTTTTGCAGTGGGTACTGTTATTGCTGTTAGGTTGTTGTGGGTAGCCTGAGTAGTATTACTTACTTTGTGTTTATACATTTAAATGCCACTGTGGTTGTTTAGAAGAAAAATACTTAAAATAATCTTAATTTCCAAGTCATAGCTGTTTTTTTTGTCAGAAATGTATCTTATGAACTTATGTGGTTTGCTTTTGTGAAGTCTTGTGATGAATTTATGGGATCTTGACATCTTGTGTCCGCATTTGGTTCTTGTAGTTTAAACTTATAATAAGTGATCTTTCAATGTTCTTAGGCTCCGATGAAGGCATGTATGCTTGGGTTGTTGCTAATTACGCCCTGGGTACTTTAGGGGGTGATCCTCGGCAAACAACTGGCATCATTGAGCTTGGTGGAGCTTCAGCTCAGGTTTTGCCTTCTCCTTAAACTTTTACTTTGTTCCCGTCGTTTGGAATGTTGATATGCATGCTTGAATAAATTGGAGTTTATACCTAAGAGTTCTATCGGGTACTGCTGCATTCTTCTACGGAAGGTGTACCAGAGATCTTTTTTTCCTCATATAGTGGGGGTGCAGTTCTCACTGAGCATGTCTGCTTTGCCTAGTTCCAATTTCAATTTATTAATTTCTATATTCATGTAAAGGAGCTTTTGCTACATGTTTTCCCATTCCCAATGAAAGCCAGAAATTATTAGAAGTCCTTATCAGTTGATTTTTATTTTCAGGTTACTTTTGTGTCAGATGAGCCTTTGCCCCCTGAATACTCTCGTACAGTTACCTATGGCAATGTCAGTTACAACCTCTATAGTCATAGTTTGCTTCAGTTTGGCCAGGTAATTCTTTTCTAATTATGTGTTGATTCGGAGTTATCACATTAACTACATAAAGATATCTTTCACTGGAGAAAATGAAGATTTTGTTGTAAGCCTCAAATTACCCATGTTGATTTCCTAGCAACTACTTTTGGAGTTTTGGCTCTATGTTATTGGCTTTGCATCTGTGCTACTCTATCAATTTTGTGTGCACAGTAAAAGAAGTATTTAAGTGGGGGAAGTTGTTTACAATGCTTCTTATGTGCATTGGTTCTTATTTCTCTGCTCTATTTTGCAGAATGTTGCTTTTGATTTATTAAGGGAGGCTTTCTTTTCAGGAGGCCAGGATTTAGGTACGACATCTCCCTTGTTGTTATATGCCAAGTGTTCTTTCCAGAATATCTTCTTAAAATTTCTTTGACTGCCAATGCAGCTGCCAATTCCCTCCTAAGTGGAGAAATTTCTGATCCTTGTACCCCTAGAGGATATACCCACAATGTTGGAGAATGGAACACCATGCCGAGTTCTTCAGCCGAAAAAAGTAGATATTTATCTGCTCTCCGCCCTAGTGGTAACTTCTCAGAGTGCCGATCTGCCTCGCTAACACTGTTGCAGAAGGACAAAGGTTAGGATCCTGTTGCTCTTGCGGTGCCATTAGTATATCCTGAAGACAGTAACTTCTAACTATTTTAAGTTTAATGCAGAGAAATGCTCTTATTCAAACTGTTACATTGGTTCAACATTTATTCCTAAGCTCCAAGGGAAATTTTTGGCTACAGAAAATTTCTTCCACACTTCCAAGGTTGGTTGTTTATTGTTAGTCTTCTTTTTTTATTGATCTGATGCGTGATTTGTTGTTTATTGTTGATAGTATATTCTGACTAGATACTGACCTTTTTCACCCTACAGTTCTTTGGTTTGGACCCACAAGCGTTTCTTTCTGATTTGATGGTTGCTGGACAAAGGTTTTGTGAAGATGACTGGTCAAAATTGAAGAGAAAATATAACTCCCTGGAGGAAGAAGATTTGCGTCGCTATTGTTTCTCCTCAGCATATATAGTGGCCTTACTTCATGATAGTCTTGGAATTGCTTTGGATGACCAAAGGTACCGTGTCTGAGTTTTCAATTTTCAGGACTGCTGAATTTCACATGATGTTTGCTTTGATTCACACAAGATTGTTGTGATTGAAAATCTTGCTTAGGACCCGCGGTTTTTTTCTGACCGGAGATATCCTTCTTAACAACTTGTTCTTCATTCTCTCTTCTCTTTTTCATCCAAAAGGAGACCTCTTTTCTCCTCCTTCAAAGCCTTTTGATCTTTATTAAAGAGATGTTCTTTGGGTAGTGATGATCTTTTCTGTGTGTAGCTAATGAGATTGAGACTGCAAGGATCTTTGTAGTTGACGCATGCGTATATTTTCTTTCTTTTATTCATCTATTTTCTCACTTTGGACAGGATCAAATATGCAAATCAAGTGGAGGACATTCCCCTTGATTGGGCATTGGGCGCTTTTATCTTACAGAGCACATTAGCTATTGATTATGAGCATTATCATCCTTCAATTGCAGCAGTGATTGCCGGCGACTCTACAAGTCTGTTACTTTTGTTTGCTATCTTGCTTGTGTTAATATTTACTGGATGGATTTTTTCAAAGTGTCGAAAACCTCAATTGAAGACAATATATGACCTGGAGAAAGGAAAGTATATAGTGACTCGTGTCAATAGATATTCATAGACTGCTCTTTATGAATGAAGGTTTTAACAAGATTACACATACAACGAGCAAGGCGACAAGTTTGAAACCAGTTCAGTGCTGCTCAACTTCATCGGCTCGGCGGCCTCAAGTAAGCTTATCATTGATCATTCTTCAGGGAACGCCCTCAGTGACGGTGGGAGTTTAGCCGTTGGCGCGGAATATTTTTATCTATTTATTTAGTTATATAGTATTCTCATCACAGTTACTGTAGATAGGATTAGACAAGTTCCACAGAATGTAGTGCAAAAGGTGGAGGAAGGATATGTGCATGTTCTGGTTTTGCCAGGAAACATTTTGTACAACTTATGGTAAGACTGCGACTTATAGAATTTTGTAAACTGCTAGGGTACCCTTGGATAGGGTTCTAACTCGTGCAAACCGTCCTTTATATCTGTATTTTTTTTAAGCCTTCTGTTAATAGAGAAAAATCATTCAAATTCAAGTGGTGCCCATGTAGATATGCAGATGGATCTGATGCTTCTTAGTTCTTACAATGATGTTCGTAAGGATTTGGTTGTTTTCTTGTCTTTGTTAAGTTTGATTATCCTTAAAATTGTTTTCTGCTGGGCGCTTAAATTAGGATCTTTTGCTTCTTAGTTCTTAGTTGCTAGCACTAATGTTTCTTTTTCTTTTTTTTTTTTTAGAATAGTATTTTCCAGATGCAATTATTCTATTTTCTTATAATCAAAGGTAAAAATACCAAAATATTGTTTGCGCTTTTTCTCAAGGTAAGATTTTGTGGAATAAATTATTCTTTATATATATCCTACTATATTAGAAATAAAAACCTCCCTTTCAAACACCTCATATGATTGTCACGTGGCATGTAGAAAATACTAAATTGCCCTTTTGTCTAACCATAACTAAATTACTAAATCTCCCTTTGCACTTTACGTGACACGTTTTTTTTTTTAATTTTTTCTTTATGTTTCATTCAACTAGAGTGGTTTTTTAAATTGAATTGATCAATTAGGTTTTTTGTTACAAAGTGTCAATTTTGTTTTAAGCGTATACCCTTCGGATGAAGCTTATTACATAGCTATTAAAAATCTCCAAAACTAAGTATTGATTTGGCATGACCAATGGAGAACATCAATAAATCATCTTACTAATATTTAAATTTATTAGGATACTTTTATATTTTATCTAACATTTACTTCAACACATATATTCGATTAAGCTATTTATATTTAATAAGTAACACTTATAAAACATTTCTAAAACATACATGGCGAAATACAATTTTTTTTTTTTTTTGCGAAATACAAATATTTCTATGATCACACTTATAAAACATTTCTAAATCCTTCAAACATTTCTAAAATATATCGCTCCAAATACAAAATTTTATTTTTTTCAAATATAAACATTTCTAAGATCTACAGATAGACTGGGCCAGAGTCGCGCATTGCGCGACCAGACATCACTAGTATATATATATATATATAGAACCAGTAATTTAGGAATAAAATTAATTCGAAACAAATTAAATTCTGAGTCTTATATAAAAATACAAAAACAAAGTTTTAAAATACATTTTTCTATTCAACTATTTTATCCGTTTACAACTTATAACAAGGGATAAGACAACAAAAAATCAACATAAATGACATGCTTCAATATCGCTGCTTATTTTTTATTGATTTTTATATAACACCGATTATATGTCAAAATACTTTTTAATATTTTAGGAGTTCTTTTGAAAATTTCGACCAAGATATTTACCAATATATAATTATGACCCTAATAATATAAAATAAAGTAATAAATAAGAAAAAAAAACTCTGATTGTGTTCACTATATTCATCGGTTTTGTAAACATTCACAAAAAAGTAGAGAAAGAAAGATTTTTGACAAACTGTACAGAAGTCGTGTTTTAAAAAATGCGAACTCTTAACAAATTTATAGCGCCGAGAAGTTCCCCGGCCTAGTGAAGTTGAATACAAAGTCGATGTGCAATCTATAAAGTTTTAAATTTTTTATCCTTTTGATTATATATTTAAAAATTGTGTCTTTTCAATATTTCACCCAAAGTTTTTTTTTGTGTGTGAGAAGTTAATTTTACGTAACATTACTTTTTACAGTATATTATCATATTATATTAATATAAAATAGTAGAAGAATTCAATACATAGAGTTTTCCTAGTAATTCATATTGTTAAAATCACTTAATTGGGATAAAGAAATCTATTCAATTTTTAATCTATTACATAGTATCAATCCTAGTGTTCGGTAAAATAACCTGTCCAAAAATAAATAAATAGATAATCAACATATAGTTTTGATATTCGTAATAAAAATATTGCAAAAATCAAAATTCCAAGTGAACTAATTTTTTTGTTATGTGAAGAGTATTATTTTGGTTCCACAAAATAAGTTTATTTTATTTCGTAATGGAAGGAGCATTTTTATCGTCTTTTGTCTATGTTTATCAGTTACTCGAGTCTTTAAAGTGGTTACTTTGAAATATTATGTATGATGACTCATAGGGAAGTTTTCAATTATCAAAATAAGAAAAAAGAATTCTTACAAGAAAAATTGCCATAGATATTATTCTTACTTTGGTCTTGCTTCTAATTTTTTTTTTTAATGAATTTTTATAAAAACAAGTTGTATTTCACAATACTTTTTCATATTTTAGGTGTTCTTTTGAATATTTCGAACAAGATATGTACCAATACATAATTATGACCCTAATAATATAAAATAAAAGTAATAAATAAGAAGAGAACACTTATTGTGTTCACTATATTCATCGGTTTTATAAATATCCACAAAAAAAGTATAGAAAGAAATATTTTTGAATTTTTGAATTTTTAAATTTTTTTTTTTGGTTGATTATTCTTCGCAAAAAGGAAAGTTTGATTGCGAGCAATGAAAATTTAAATCAATGGCAAGGGAAAACAAATCGACAAAATTATATCCAAATTGTGAACCAAAACCCTCTTTGCGGTCATGCCTGATACAACCAAATCATTTCAGCTCATCACTCATCATCATTACATCAACCTTTTAACCAAAATGAAAAATCCTGGGTCATTCCATTTACGCATTAGTTACACCATTACAACAACTACCGAACTCCGGAAGCTGTTGAACATCGAACGTATAATAGTGTGATTTAAAATTTTCAAGTACAAGGAATATGAGATGTCAGTTCAGTGTTAAAACAACTCCTACTCTCAAAAGGAGTTTACGAATTCAAACTCACTTTAACAGTTATAACAAACTTACTCACGACATCCCGATTTCGCAACAGAACTTATCATCTCGGGTTCGCCTCTTACTGTGGTTCACTGTGGCTTGTCATCCGAATTTTTTTTTTTAACAATTTTTTTCAATTAAAGTAATTTATCCCACCTCATTTTGGACAAATTTAAACTATTAGTGGTAATAAACAAAAAAAAAAGTTGAAAAATTAATGGGGCGGAAACGGAATTGGCCATAACAAATCCAGTACAAAATTGATGGAATGATGAAATCATACAACCAAGTGATGTGACCGTGACAAAACGTTGTCAATTTCAAGAGTAGTTGGGGTCGATTTTTATATTTATACCCTTGTTTGTCTGCATAAATATCAACGGCTAAATGGTGACGCACAAAAAATAAAAATAAAAATTTACACTAATACACTTTTTTAAAATTTTATTTCATTTGATCATTTGACTTTCTTTGAATCACCTCTATTAAATTTAACATCGAACTTTTCAACATTTGCACGATAACATCTTTGCTTAATTTTTTTTTTAAAAAAAATGATGCAGAAAATACTTATCCATATTTGATTTTTTGAATTAAATGATTAAATCAATGAACTTGTCTTTTGGGGCACATGTGAAACTGCGGAACAACTGGATATTCACAGGACACATAGGATAGGACTGTTGATATCATAAGCAAATTCGAGGAAGACAGCTCTCACATTATTATAACCAAACCTGGGAAACCCAATTTCACAAAACCGCGTTATAAAGTATATAACCTTTTTACAAAATCATATAGATTGTGTGAATTTATTTTACATTGTGTTTTCTCTCTGTTTTTGTGTTGTTAATCGACTGATTTATCGGTTTTGTTTCTTTGGTTGGGCAATAATAACGCGATTTCCCTTTGCATTTCAATTTTTGGCTGTGTGATTTCCATCTTTTGCGGTTTCAGTCCAAGGTACATTTCTATCCATTCTCCTTTCTTTGTCTTTCATTTAATCTGTATTGCAACCAATGTAAGAATTCTCTGATCTCGCCTGTCGCTACCTTTGATTGGCGTGATCAGAGAATAACGCATAAATAAACTGCATTTTTGTAGAAGAAATTATGTTTTCTTCTTCTATCCATCTAAATATACATGTAAAGTTACTATCTTTATTGAGAAATTCCTAATCTTTTTGTGAATATTATCATATGGGTTTTGCTTTTTACGGTTGAATTTGGAGGATTTATCGTATATTGGTTGATTTTGTATCCTAGGAGTTTTTGTTGTTGTGGGTTTCTGAGTGGGGGTGGTTGAAAGATGGGCGAACAATTGGTGGTGAATGTAGATGGGTTTCAGAAGCCTACTCAGGATATTAAGGGTGAGAAACATCAGCCTCAAATTGTAGGTGGCCCTTCTTCTTCGGCCGGACCGGTGCCGGAGAAAGATGTTGTGGTGATGGTGGAAGGGGAGGACGATGAGGGGGCTCCTTTAATTGCTGGTGGAGAGTGCCGCATTTGCCAGGAGGAGGATGCTTTGACCAATTTGGAGGCTCCCTGTGCTTGCAGCGGTAGTTTGAAGGTATATATTTTGAAGTTGAGCAGGCATGAATTGTTATGACAGGAAAGGTTTGCACCTTTTCGCATGTTTTTTTTTCCCTTTACCTCGTTTGACAAATTCTTTTGAGGTTTTGGAGTCTGTGAAGTCGAAGGTGTTAACTTGGAGACTTTTCTTGGGGATCTGGATTGGATTTTACTTATTGCATTTTAGTTTTGTTTTCTGTTTATTAGATTGCTGGTTAGGAAATAGTATGTAACATTTCTGTAAAGAGATAAAGGCTAAAACGAACAAGGATATCAAATGTGAAAACTACTTCATTCATTCGTAGATTGTTCTTGGAATGGAATACTTGGATTTTTATTCTGGAAGCTGCATTTTGACATTAGTGAAGAAGCATTTAGTGAAACATAGTTTTGATTCTTTTGTTGTTCTTAGGGAGCATATTTTTCCAGGCTAAAGATGCTGCATTTCTTCTTCTTTTTCTTTCGCCTTTCCTGGTAGTGCCTTTCTTCCAACTGCATCTGGTTTCCCTTTTTAGCTTTTCAGTGCAAATTCGGTACATTATTAACTGCCATTTTCTTGTCACATTCTACGTGAGAGCCTTCTCCTGTTCAGTTTGAACCTTCTTTTTTGTATTTTTTTTTCTTTTTTTTGTGGTCTGTTGCACGTTACTGGTTCCTACCTTCCTGATAATATAGTCTAAGTAGATTCATGTGGTGTACTTTCTGGCGCAGTATGCTCACAGAAAATGTGTTCAACACTGGTGCAACGAAAAAGGGGACATCATTTGCGAGATTTGTCATCAGGTATATATAAACATTTAATTGTATTTTAATCTGGTAGATACTGTCTGTGGTTCTGAAATGTTGGGTCTCAAATTTATCCGTGGAAAAAGAAAGAAAGGCAGTTTTGTATTCAATGAAATGAGGATTGAGTTGTGCAAGCAGTTTGTCTAAGCTTCTGGGAGCTGATGAAAAAAATGAAAACAAAGACTATTTCCACGTCTGAAAAATGTTAAAGTTATCATTTAGTGTGCGCAAATCTACATGAGTGAGTGACTCACTCAGAACATATCTCAAATGAATCTGAGCAGTTTCTGTTGCATTTATAATCTTCAAGAATGGCCCTTTAGTATTTGGATCTGAGTAATTTCCTTTGAACATTATTCTTAAGCAATCAGGAGTTGTTATATAGATTAAGTGAAGATTCTGGTGTACCGTAACTGGTTTTTTAATTTTGCCTCACTGTTTTTATATTTTTACTCTTGACTTCTATGTTTAACTTTTCATTGTGGACATGCAGTCTTATCAGCCTGGTTATACTGCTCCCCGGCCTAATCCTGAAGAGACAACTATAGATATTGGGTAAGCTTCTAAAGTTCAGTAGTAGTTATTTTATTAGCCAGACTTTTAAGAATTTATCTATAGCAAGTGAAAAAAGGGTACGAATCCATTTTCGAATTGAATCATTCTTTCTGTAAATCTGGCACACCTTTCTGACATTATTGAAACTATGAAAATCCATTATCAGGGGAGGATGGCAACTTTCTGGCACACCTTTGGATCTGCATGATCCTCGTCTTTTGGCAATTGCAGAGGCTGAACGCCAGCTTTTGGAAGCTGAGTATGATGATTACAATGCTACAAATGCTAGTGGGGCTGCATTCTGCCGTTCAGCTGCTCTAATTGTAAGCCCTTCCAGATAGCCTTAGCTTCACACTGCTACTTAGGATATCTGGATTCTTGTGCTTATTCTAATTTCAGTAATCCTTTTTCATATATTATTTGTGTGTTTGTTATTGAAATTGATCTCCTTGTTTGTTTATTTTGTGCAGTTAATGGCTCTTTTGTTACTACGACATGCATTAACCATTACTGATGGTGACGGGGAGGATGACCCCTCTACATTCTTTTCTGTAAGCTTGATTCGCAAATCATTTCCTGCTATAAAGATATGAGTGTTCCATGGTTACTGTTTTGTATTTTGTTCTAATTCATAACCTCTGCAGCTTTTCTTACTTCGAGCCGCTGGCTTCCTTTTGCCCTGCTACATAATGATCTGGGCTATTAGCATCTTGCAGCGGCGTAGGCAGAGACAGGTTAGCTGTCCTCCATTAAGTTTCTGTTTCTTTCTTTAGTTTTAATTTAGAACATTGTCCATTGTTAACATGTTGATTTACAAGTTCCAACTCCAAGGTTACTCGTAAACCTTTCGTTCTCAAAATAACTTTTCTTGATTGTTTGAACAGGAGGCAGCAGCATTGGCTGCAACTCAATTTGCATTTGTGGTGCAGTCTGGACAAAGCAGAGGCTTGCATTTTGCCATTGCATCGGCTGGTCCCGTACCTCAGCCTGCAACAGCATTGCCACCACAGCAGGAGCATGCTTAGTGGAGATTTACTATCCTCTATTTTACTCAAGGGGAACGAACGGTCAGCATCCTTTTATGGCATCATCATGTAGAGAGCTTTCTGTATCCAAGAACATTTCCGGTTCAGATCGGAGTGTATATATATCAGTGATATTTCTGTAATTGAGATTAGGTTCATCTGGTTGAATTGAATAGGCCACTGGCTGTTTGTTGTGCCTCATGACTTTCCCAGAACTAATCTAATAACAATGATGCTTTGCCCAGTCGTTCGGATAATTTGAACATCTGTACACTCCTTGCTATTTTCACCCTGCACCATCTAGATGTATGGAATGGCTGACCAAAAGCTTCTTGAGTGTGTATGAAGGATCATGGTTGGTAACAGGGCAATTTTACATATGTAACATCACTGTGTGGGCTTTCATGTTCCCTAAAACTGTAAAGGAATGTTTCAAAATGGAATCAGATATTCTAAAGATGAATAGAATAATGGGATCAGTTCAAAGTTGGGGGGAGAAGAATCTGCTTTAGTCTTGAGTTTTTATGGTGACATTCTGTTTGCAGTGGCCTACTCTTATGCTGTGTGTCTCTTTCGAATTTAGCAGGTGTATTAACTAACTAACAATGGGTCCATTTGTGAAAGCTGATGCTTAATCTTGTAATATTATAATTTAGAGAAAAGAAAAAGGGGTGACACCAGTAACATAAAAATGTTATACCCCTTCACAAAAGGGAAAAACTTTTGATCATTCCAGCAATCAGTAAAAGATAGGCCCTCATATGGTCAAAAATAAGCCTTCTTTCTTTCAATAGGATTTAAAATATGTTATGATCAAAAGTTGGCTATGTTTCTGGTTGGCTAATTTTAATTTCAGAGTCATCTTTCTACTTAGTTAGGGATATGGTTTGGGGGGGGGTGTTAATGACAAAAATGAAGAAAACAAAGACAGAAGAAATAGAAAGACTTACAGTCTGATCATCTAGTGAGCTATAACAGACTGAGCATCTAGTGAACTATGTAATTCATTACTCCCTGTAGCTCAATAAAAATAATTCAATTTGTAGAAATAGTTAAATTCGACAAAATGGACTACTATCAGAAGGAATGAAGATTTGAGTGAAGGCGTGGTTGAAGTTAAAGTTGCTGAAGCCTGAAAGCAACAACTTTGTAACCAAGATCAAAAAAGCAAAATGGCAGACTGATCTTTGATATATATATATATATATATATATATATATATATATATATATATAAACTTTCATTCCATCATGTCTGCCAAGTTGTCCAAATTTGGTTCCAACGAATTCTTCCCAATTTGAGAGACTTGAGATTCTAACAGTAATCAAACTAATCAACTTTATGAAAGAATCTTTTAGTTAACCCCATCAAACAACATATGGTCAAAATAGTACGCAACCGTACCATGACCAAACTAAGTAAACTAGCCCCACCCAATATCTTAGAAGTATGGCACTTTGGCTTATGGGGAATTGCAGCCAGAGTTTAGTCATTAGAACGGAACAACATCAGACCACATGTTTGTATCTCTAGTCCTTCTTTTAGCCATTTTAGTTGAGTTGTTCAATTAATCCTGTTGTGGTTTTCTTAATTAGCTTGTAAATTGAGTGCAGTTGCGACCTTTCTTTGCATGGCTGATACGTTTCTGCGTTTTAGTTCTTAATGACAACAGTTTTGGCTTAAAGATTAGGAGCTTGACAGAAACAACTCAATATTCTTTTCACTTTGTTTCATCAAGTAGAGGCAAAGAATCTTTAACTTGGAAAAGGAAAACAGATGAAGAAGTTGGACCAGGGCAGTTTATCTCAAGATTTCATGATATGAAATAAAGCATCACAAGTTCTGCTTTAGAATGTTCCTGTAAGCATGTGTTTTTTGGTATATTATAAGCAAAAGAGCAAATTAGGAAGAAAAGATTGTCTCCTTGGTTATAAGAGAAACCCAAAAAAAAACAGAGAATTTCCGGAAACGTTTTGAGTTTGTGAGCCAGTCTCACTTTGATGCGTGGCCTAGTCCCCATAAGCCATTGGGTATAGTTGCCCGCTCCTATGGACTTAAACAAAAACATTGATATATTCGTAAACCTAAAAACCATTGGACAAATGGAGGGAGAAAAAAGAAGGGGAAAAAAAGAGCATAAAGAAAGATATCTAGTCTAGCACAAAAAACCAGGAATGGGATTTTGAGTTTGAGTTTTGCATGGAAAAAAGAGCTTGGAATTCTAAAGTGAGATCTCCATAATGGGGATAAAGTTAATGTTTGGTTTTTTTAGGAAGGGGATGTTCTAATATTCCCCTCCATCCTTTTTCCTTCTCTCATTTTTTGCTTTTATGACTGCTTCTCTCTCTCTCTCTCTCTCTCCCCCTAAGACCCAAGATCTTCTTGTTTTAGCTGCTCCTTAGGCTCTTCCATCATTCCATTCTGCTTGCTTTTGTTTCTTAACAACTAAGGAAACATGACTCACAAGCCAAAACAGTATGACACCCTTTTTACCAAATCATTTAAAAAAACACCAAAAACATTGAGATTTGAGGGTACATTTACATGTAAGCAATTCTTTGTTGTTGATGTGGCAGAATGGTTGGAATTTCCAATTGACTCGTTGGTTGGTTCTTTTTTTTTTTGGAAAACAAAAGCAAAAACAATGGAAAAAAGATGCTTACCTTCTCAAAGGTGGTGTTGTTCAAACAACTTTATTCAATCCTAGTCAGATTCTTTTACTACAGCCTTAGTTTTTGCATAGATTGCAGAGTTTTCATGATTGGGGATGAATCTAAACTCTTAACATGATCCTCTTGTGGACCCTTTCAAACTTTGCTTTAAATGGCCCTCCAAATCTCATTACAAATAAACCATGAGCTTATATCTACAGGGATGGAATGAATTAAAAGATCAGAAGGATCACTCTTCTTTCCTTCTGCTCTATATCTTTTACTCAACACAATCCATTTCTTCCTGTTTCTTTCTGTTGAAATAATGGTCATTAGTATTGGTATTCCTAGAACTCTTTTAGTTCTCATATGTCTAGGATTGTTATCACTTCATCCTCAATATGTCATTGGACTGAGAAGTATAGATGTTGCTTTAAGATGGAGCAGAGAAGGGATTGCGCAGATGAAGAACAATCAGAGAATACTCAAGGCTGTTATTACAGAAGGGCTAAATGCAAAAAAGAAAGCAGCGCCTGTTGTAGTAAACAAGAAAATTGATCCTTTCCAGACGAGCAAAAGAAAAATTGGAAAAGGATCAGATCCCATCCACAACCGTTCGTGACTCGATCAAGGAATCCGCAGAAGGAAAAGCAACAATGCAGCATAAATTGTGTGAGAGATGAAGGTTTGTGCCTCAAGAAAACTGCAGGGGAAGGTTGAACTGCATCGACCTAATCAGCTTTCGGGAGTTTTTATACTAGGTTTCTTTCGGAGAGTTTAAGGGTATCGATGCCTCAAAATGCATTAGCATCCGGGGGGATATCGTGATCAGCGGCAAATGAAGACCACTTAGACCAGTCTATATTGAAATATATACTAGCTTATTAGTTTTTCCGCATACTCATTACTCAATCAGCTTGGTGATTCATTATTTATTTTTCTTCAGTGTCTCGCAATGAATGATTGATTTTTTGTTGATATGAATACCAAATATGACCAGTTTGCTTTCAGCTGGCTAAACAGCATTGATGATCAACTCTTTTTTTTTTTTTTAATCAAATCTGCATGTAATTACAGACAAGAACAGAACAGGACAGGAGTGTGGTCTGATATTGCTTACTTCACTTAGTGAATTCTTGTGTTTCAGGCATCCTCAGTCAGGAGAAAAAACAGGTGGAACTCAGATTGCAAAATGATTTCTCCTTTCATTTAACTATAAAGTGGTCAAAATCCAGCCCAGAAGGCATCTGAGGTTTCCTTTTTCAACGTAATTTTATTAACTAATCTTCTCTTTGGAGAAAAGCTGCAAGAGACTCCTTATTGCAGAATCACAAAAATCAAACAAATGCATGGTTTGCACTTTGCATTCAGTTAACTGAAAAAATGTTGCCTGAACATCTAACCAGACACTACAACAGAGTCCATGAAGGTACCCGTGTTTACTTCTTGTCTTTTACTGATCAGATCCTTAGGTATTGCTTCCGTCTCATAATAAGAGTCGTGTTTATTAAATTCAGATAAGAACGTAGTAAACTACTTTAGACTCATTCACATCCATAACTAGAATATTTGGACCATATTCCCGTACAAAGATGTCCAATCATCATTCTGGCCCAATTAATCATATCCAAGCCCAGATGAACATTCTGACTTCTGTGTAATTTATAAGATATGCTATCACAGAGGCCATTTCTCGTAGTCTGGTATGAAGTTCAACGTGCTACAAACAAAATAGATTGCGACGGGATGAAATATGATTATGGGAAACAATTAATAGTCTACTCAATCAATCTCAAAATAGATTGTCTTGCACTGTTTGGGAACAAAAGAAGTACTAATCATAACTAAGATAGTAAATTGATTATATATTTTATATGTCTCATAATAATTGTTTTATTTGTTATTTATCTATTTAACAATTATTTTGAGACAAAAACTTGAACAAATGGTGATTAAAAAAATATTTTCTTTCTTTCAAAATAGTTATCCTAGTTTGATTTTTGACTGAAAATATTTTGTACCAATATGATGTTAAGACATGTTGTGGCTCAGGTATAACTTCCAAAAATCATCACGCTCGTAGTCAATTGATTTTGAGATGCGAGTTCAAAGTGGTCAATGGTATTAGTGCCAACATATTACTACCACAAAGTGGTGTTCATCCCCTTTATTTGTAACACTATCGCAACATTAAAAAATACGTAATTTACTGCTTCAATCCTTCATCTCTTTGTTTGTTTCATTTTTTGATTGGTTTTTTTCATATTATTTTATTATTAATTATCTCATCCCAATATACCTTTTTATAATTATAATACATTTTTTTATATTTCCAATAAAAAAACGCAA